AAATGCTTGTTTTTTTAGAAGTCCTTATTAACATAACACTTTTTTTCAAAGAATTATCATTCTGTCCGCCCTTAATTTTTTGTTATTATTTATAAGTACGCCCAGTAATTTATTTTTGTCATAATATGTGAACGGTTTTAAATGATGATTGAACAATTACAAAAATTTACAGGACTGCATCAATAAAAGTCCAATTCTTGCTTCTTTTTTCAGTTTTTTCCTGATAATTGATACTCCTTCATTCCTTCTCTTCCTCCTCCTCATTCATCCCCCTTTTGAGTAATACATCCCTCTGTATTGCATCTCTTTCTCACCCTTTAAACCCCCCTCACTAACCATAGTATGTTAATAAACATTGTTAATTTCCCTGGTTTTAGATGCACTGAGTGTATATTTGAAGTTGTTATTGTTAAGAGAATTGCCTATACTTTTTTATTCCCCTCATCTTGCCCTTTCCTATTTGTTTTTTTTTTAAATTTTCCTTATTTACATACCCTCCCAAAAACCCTTTACGCCTTTGCAAATCTTTTTATCATAATCTCTGAAAAGACTGTTTCACTGGCAAAGGCACACCAACTCGCACTCCTTACCAGATTCCTTTCTTTCATCTCACACCTAGGGGTTTTTTTCAAGCCCTTGGGCCATGTGGGGGTACATTTATTGTGTACTTTTTTACAATAGCACTTTTGGGTTTTTCAAAACCCCATTCAACACTATCTGTTTCGCAGATGGGATTTTGCGGGTATTCGGCGGCACGGCTACCCCCGGGAGCGCCGCTCCTTTCCCCGTTCCCACCAGGGCAGGGTATCGACCAAACATGAAGGGGGGGTGGTGGATGGTGGGAATGGGGTTTTAATAAAAAATTGGGGGGGGGGGGGTGGGTGAAAGGGGGGATTAAAAATAAAGGGGAAAGTGAGTGGGGGTGGTGTGGGGGGAAAGTTGAATAGTGTAATGTGTGCCCCACCAGAGTTTTTGAGCCCCGCATGGTCCGGGCCCCGAGGATGAACTCGCCCTGACTTCGGGAAATATGGTTGGATGAAGTTGACAGTGCGGGAGTACCTGAAAGGCAGGAATGACGAAAATTTAGCAGTGGATGAAAAAAATAAAGAAGTGTATGACGGCGGATGTTTGGGGCAGAACCCAAAATGAACATTATGTGTAAACATGGAAAGGAGAAACATGCCTGGGATGAAAAAATGAACTTTGGGGTTTAAAAAGTCAAAGGAAGAAACTATAAAAATTTTGTTTATAAATACTCCTTGATATTTTAAAATTAAAAGGTATTTCATTTGATATATCATTGTGATTTTATTTTGTTGTTTAAGGCAACGAAACATCAAAATTTTATTGTTTTTCCCTTGAATATTCAAATAAAGCCCTGTTCAAAATTTTATTTGCCTTGTGCGCATCTTAAATTTCATTTTCGTCTTGAAAATTGTTCTGAGGAAAAGTTATTTACGGAGTGAAGTTTGACAGATGTCTTTAATTTTGACCAGCTGTGTTATTTTTAATGCCGATTGTTATTAAAATTCCCCTTTGTACATCAGGACGGGACTTTTTTATTTGGGCCAAATGCTAATTTTGGTTAAGTTAGGTCACAAGGGCTTCACTGGGACCTATGAATTGAGGTTTATGTAAAAACGGAATTTTACACCTGCAGTTTAGGGGAGGGTTTTAGGAAGAGTGATGTGTGCTCCCCTCCGACTGAATTTTTGACCATTCCGGTCTTGCTGACCTGATCTGTGGCTACCCTGCTATTCCTTCTTGGTTATCATTGTTAGGGAAACATTCATTATTCCCTTTTTGCCCCTTTTTCAAAATAACTTTTAAAGTGTTAAATGGCCTATATCCTGAAAATTATAGGACAGGTAAATGTGTGTGTCACCCTGATATTTCATTGTAGTTAGTCTTTATCAAAATTAGTCTGGAAAAAAGAAGACTTGGGATTAATATTTTGTGGAAAAACAGGTGTGGGATACAGGGACCAGTAAACAAAAAAAAAGTAAGGGAGTTATTAATAGCAACAAAAGCATTAAATTTTGAAAAATAATGTAGAAATCAAAATAAGAAATAAATGTAAAAAAAAATTTTTTCTTGAAAAACGAAATGAAAAATTAAATATCGATGTGAATATAACAACTTCTTATATTCAGCCTTCCGTTCCAAACATGTACCTTTACATAACAAACACACCTATGGGCATTTATCTTGCCCTATCTTTTTTATCTGCCCCCAATTAAAATACAGGGTGTTTCAAAAAAGATGGACTTATTTCCAAGCAGTATATTTCACATGGGTCCGATCTTTTTAAAAACCCCTTTAATAGTATTCCTCCCTTTTGTTTTACATTCTGTGCCCTGTAGCAGTGGAGACCCTCCCGGGGGTTTCTCTTTAATTATGTAACAAAGGGTTTAAAAATCCTTTTTTAGCGTTAAAACATGTAGAAAAAGCAGGCACAAACATGGACAACTAAAGAATCTTTGCTATTTTTAAATATTTAGGAAATACTTGGACTAACAACAACCAAAGAAGTGGAGGTGGAAAGGGTATGACAGGTTAGAAAAGCAAAAAATAAAATTTTTCTTGATTACCTGGGTTTTTTTTTAAATTTTATATTGGTTAGAATTAGTTGGTTTTGGGAGTAGGGGTTTGTTGAGGAAAAAGGAGGATTATGACAATTTTTTAGGTTAAAAAAGGGACGTGATCTAATGGACTTTTATTAAAATGTCACATTAGTTGCATGTGACCTTTGACCAAAAAATCTTGAAGATGTTTTTATAGAAACATATGACATCTTCAAAATGTTAATGTTTTCTTGGCCCCCTGTTAATGAATAAGAGGGGTCTGCTAATTAATTATTGATGTTTTTCTTGTTAGATGGAAAAAGTTTTACAGTTCAAACACTGTTTTTCATGTTCTTGAAATTTAAATTTTCTAAAATATTCTCACACTTGACGGAACAGAGTGGAGCTTTGCCTCAGCAGTGTTTTGGGGAAAGCGCAGGTAGCACCGCACCGCCCATCCCTGGCAACCCACTCCCCCTCTCACTCCGTACATGACCCCCCATACCTAATCAAGGGGACGTCAAAACCGATTTACCGAATTAAAGCCTTGATGTTCCAAGTGAGTTTCACCCTTAGATTTTTTATCTTTTAAATTTAATTTAACCACGCAGACCCATGTTAACCGATCAGGCATGATTCAGCTACATATTGAAAATAAAATGCTCATCAACAATGGCTGCAAAGGTCATCCCCCTTGTCAAGAAAATATTTTCTCCTTTGAAAAAAATTAAAGCAGACTTTTTAAGTTTTTTATAGTTTTTTTACGCTCTGAAATTGAGAAGATATGAACTACGGTCCCTTCCCGTTCGGATGGATTGTTCTACACCTTTCAGATTGGAAAATAACTTAGCAGTTCCAATCATGTCTTCCACCTCAAACCCCATGTTCAAACCTTAAGTTCAGGAAAACCATCTCCGTACAATTTTCAGCTCACACTGACTCACATGTGACTTTACTCTCATAACAAACTCATGCTCACATTTTTGATCATAAGCACTTTTCTTTATTTTTGGGTTTTAAAATTCTTGAAAAGTTTTATTTTATACATAAGGCTGTGTATTGTAAAAAAGGATAATGGGTGACTTCTGGATGACTGCTAGAGTAGGACAGATATGTCTGCTTTATGTAGTGTGTTTCGAAGAGTAAGGGGGGAAGGTACAAGATTTCGCAGTGGGTTTATAGAATTTTTAAAAAAAATAACAAAGAAAGGTGACAGTTCAGAAAGATATAAGCAACCCTTTTGGGGGAAAAAAGGGGCAAAGGCAGGAAATGTAGAGGAATTGTGGGGGTATGGGGAAAAATTTAAGAATGCATTGGGAGAGTGTACAAAAGGGTTTGTTGGATAGGGGGTGTTACAGGCAGGAAGAGGAATGATTGTGGAAAAAGATGAAGTAAAGAGGTGGTAGGGGAGAAAAAATTAGCCTTTTAGAGGGTTTAAAAAAAATATACTGAAGGCTGAGTATATGGAAGGGAAAAAGGGGAATAAGAAGATGAGGAAGTTGCAAGGGAAACCCGAGAGAGTATACACAATCCCCCTTTCAAAAATTTTCCTGAGAAAAAAAATGATGTCTTCAGGGAAATCACTGAAGAAGGAACCCTGGTGAGAAATTGGACTTACCAGTTAAGGAGAGAGGAGAGATGTTAGATTGAAGATGGAGAGAATATTTTGACACATTGTTGAATGTTCATAATAAAGGAGAGGTGGTGATTTCATGCATGGGGCAGGAAAGGATAATGTTGTATAAGAGTAAGGAACCTGAGGGGGATATGGGGGAAAGTGTGTGAGGCAGTGATTAGATTGAAAGTGGGCAAAGTGGCTAAGATATCTGAGGTTATGACGGATGTTAAAAACAGTTCAGCTCCATGGAATTGAACTCTTCTCCAGGCTGAAGGACTGATTACCTCCAACTATTTCTACAAGATCGATGGATTGATTACTACATCTTAACCTTATCACTTCTGCTGCCCTCGGCGTATACTTTGTATCCGACTGAAGAAGCTTATGGTGTAGGCGAAATGTTTCAACAAGAATGATACCCAGCTGTTGTGCATGTGTCTTATGTATATAGAGGTTGCTGGATAATAATGCCTACTCAGACTTTGGACATGTTCTTGTGAGTTGTAACACCACACTAGAACTAAACATCTCTTTGATGTCTCATGTCAATAACTGAATCTATGGGTCACCTTGATCTGAGTGGGAAATGTCCAATATGTTAAAAATACACAAAAATACATAAAAGACCCCAATGGAAATAAGTCACTCTGACTTTTTTGGGTAATCCTAAGTTCTCTACACATATGCTGCTATGTATGATAATCTATGTAACTGTATTTGTGTTACCTGAACAAACTTACACAACAGTAATCAGCCTCAAAAGAAATCAAACAGAGATTGGGCTGACATAATATACTAAAACATTTCTTTAAATTTTTTCCTGCAGATCAGATTTAGAGCTGCAGCTGAAATGTTTCCATCATGAAGATCGACAAATGAACACAAATTGGCCGGCCAGTGTCCAGGTTTCCGTCAACGCCACACCTCTAAGCATTGACCGTGGAGAGCAGAAAACTTCGCACAAACCACTATATATTAAAGCTGTTTGTCAGCCGGGAAGAAACACTATTCAAATTACCGTTACTGCATGTTGCTGCGTGAGTAGTTATTTATAACACATTTTTTCTTCTTATTTTTTTTTCATTCCTGTCACTAAAAGTTGATCAATTACCCGTCTACATTAACAACATTAAAAATGTAGTTGACATTCACACCTTTCATCTGGAGTGTTGATTGAGGCTGGTGAAGAGCTCTTGATCCAAGGTATTGGAGCTGTCTCCACCTTGAATCAAGCATGATTACCTCCCACTCTCCAGGCACCGTTTTACCCTTATAGGTTTCCCAGTGAATGTAATTAATATACATCCTCTGCAGTATAATTATTTTTAGGGATAATATAAATAATTTAAATGCCAGGAGCAAGGGGCTAGTAACCCCTTCCCCTGTATATATTACTAAATATTAAAGGAGAAGCTTTTGTTTTTCCTTTTGGGCCACCCCGCCTCGGTGGGATACGGCCGGTGTGTTGAAAGAAAGTAAATAATTTAACTAATATTCTATATTTCTTTCCAGTCTCATCTCTTTGTACTCCAGTTGGTGCATAGACCAAGTGTGAGGTCTGTGTTGCAAGGGTTGTTGCGCAAAAGGATGTTGCCTGCTGAACACTGTGTTAACAAAATCAAGCGTAACTTCAACTCTGTTGCCGCCTCGAGCGGGTCTTTAAACAGCTCAGAAGGTGACGGTGTTGAACAAACTGCTATCAAAATTTCCCTCAAGTGTCCCATCACATTTAAGCGGATAACACTGCCTGCCAGAGGCCACGATTGCAAGCACATACAGTGTTTCGATCTGGAGTCGTACCTACAATTAAATTGTGAAAGAGGCTCGTGGCGATGTCCGGTTTGCAAGTAAGTTTTCTCTCTCATTTTTTCACTGAAAACCCAGAAGGTCTCACATTTTGTTATAATGTGTTAAAACTTTTCACTGTAATATTACTATCATATACTATAATAAAAAATACAAGCCTAATAGAATTGTTGTATGTTTGCAGCAAAACAGCCTATCTGGAAGGTCTAGAGGTTGATCAGTACATATGGGGAATTATCACCACCTTAGCAAACTCTCCTGTGGACGAGGTGACTATGGATTCCTCGGCATCTTGGAGAGCAACGAGTTCGTCTGGTATGCCAGGCACTCCTGGGGTCAAAGACGAAGACTCGGACACATGCATGAAGCGGTGGAACAAAGCAATGTCCCCAGGGAGTATGACCCTACCAACTATGAGCAACATTGATATGGGACAGTCCATGAGCCCATATGTTCCTCCAGATATGAACAGTAAGTACAACAAATGTTGCACTTGTCATCTCCAAACTATGAATTCTCTGCATAATATTTATACCACACATTGCCCTCAGACAGGACATCTCCTTTGCCTCCAACCTCCTCACTGCAGTGTTTAAAACCCATGCTTCACACCCATATAAGAGTGTTGGTATCACTGTACTCTGGTACATTCCCCATTTTACCTTCATGGATAAGGTTCTTTGTTTCCACAGATGCCCTGGTGTGCCACCCACATTTTTCCTTGCCAATTCTGTGGTTCACGTCATCCTTCATGGAGCCATCAGTGGACAAGTCCACTTCCAAATGTCTGAGCACATTCATAAATATGAAGTAATATGAATATCTTTAAATGTTATGCATAATCAGTGTACACTGATATCTGAAGAAAGAAACAAGAGAAAGAGAACAGATTTGGCTAGTTTTCAATAAGAATCTTGCAGGGTTCATGTAGTTAAGCCTTGCTGATGTGAAGTCTGGCCTGTGGGTGGAGGGAGAGAGAAACATATTTGTAGGTTCATAACGTGTGTGCTTCAACCTAGAAAAAGACAGGCAGGTTGCTTGGTGGAGAGAGGGACGAAGATTATGACTGAATTTAGGATCTCACTTTTTCTTGGTTGCTTCTGGACCAAAGTTACTTCTTTTTCGTACGTATATGGCTAATTAGTACCTGTATGTTTTGTCCCCTAGGTAGTAGGTTGGTAGACAGCAACCACCCAGGAAGGTACTACTGTCCTGCCAGTGAATGTAAAACAGAAGCCTGTAATTGTTTTACATGATGGTAGGATTGCTGGTGTCTTTTTTCTGTCTCATAAACATGCAAAATTTCAGGTACGTCTTGCTACTTCTACTTACACTTAGGTCACACTACACATACATGTACAAACATATATACACACACCCCTCTGGGTTTTCTTCTATTTTCTTTCTAGTTCTTGTTCTTGTTTATTTCCTCTTACCTCCATGGGAAAGTGGAACAGAATTCTTCCTCCATAAGCCATGCATGTTGTAAGAGGCGACTAAAATGCCGGGGGCAAGGGGCTAGTAACCCCTTCTTCTGTATATATTACTAAATGTAAAAGGAGAAACTTTTGTTTTTCCTTTTGAGCCGCCCCGCCTCGGTGGGATACGGCCGATGTGTTGAAAGAAAGATTTGGTTTACTTTGTGTGATTTCACATTATTCGCCATAGATATCCATCACACAAAGCAAAGGACACCTGTATATATACAGACACATTATACTACAGGCACATATAAACTTACATATTTACTTGCTAGATGAGGAAGTTACTTAATACCATCATTAAGGAGGAATTGAAGCTACAGTTGTAAACTGAGGAAGAGGAGCTGCCAATAGAACACTAGCAAGGTCTTCACAGAGTGATAGAGTAGTGAAATGAAATACAAGAGGCCATAAGTGATACAATCATTGGAGGTGGGAAGTATAGTGCTTGCACTCTAAAGGTCTGGAATATTTGCTGTGTGGAGGGACATCTAATTTGTCATATGTGAGCCTCTGACAAGACAGTGATAGTGTGAATGATGGTGAAAGTGTTTCTTTTTCAGATCACTCTGCTTCAGTGAGAGACTCCCAGCATGTTAAAAAAAAAGGCTAAAGATGGAACACCACAAGCACAGCTCTGCTGCTGTAGCTACAAATACTGTAGATACAGTAGCTGCATACATATGTAATCACACATATATATATACATGCATACAAACAGTATTTAATAATAACAATAATGATAATTATTTCCTTGCAGGCATCAACAATGGTTCTATGATGAATATGATGAACATGGGTAATAATGGGAGCAGTGGTTCAGGCATGTCCAGATCTACTTCCCAATTTGATTTGAGTTCACCAGACTTCACTAGAGGTGGAGGACCTCTATCACAACTCAGTGAATCTGTCAGTAAAATGGATCCTCTGGGTGCTATGGAAAAATCTGTCAAAGACCAGATGGCACCTCAAATGGGGCCTCCACCCTCCTCCAGCTCCACTACTACCTCCAACACTACTCTTGCTGCTCCAACTACAGGTTCCACCTCCACCACCACTTCAGTATCATCGTCACAGCCACTCTGCACCACCACCACCACCACCACAACCACCTCCACCACACCATCATCAACCACAACACAGGTAAGCACCTTATTCTTATTATTGTTAGCATTATTATACAATAGCCACAGTGTGTGATTTTAATAGTCCAAGTCGAACTGAAATGTCGTTATGTTTCTTTATCCCATGTGCGGGTTATTTGTTATTGTTTCAGTCACGGTATTGTGCTGTTTGTACTTCATTCCTATATTCACAAGAAAACCTTAAAATCCGTAAGGGTTATAAGAACATAAGAATGAAGGAATTAAAAGAATTAAAGGTTTGATTCAGCAAAGGGGAAGGGTAGCTCCAATTCCTTGGATCAAGAGTATTTTTACCACTGTCAAGGCAAATCATCTCCCTCCTTGAAGGGGGTAAGCACCTCAGTAACATGCATGGTGTTTCACCCATGTTGATGCATCTGGGTGTGAGAAGTGTGCAGGAGAGAGTCTGGAAGGCACTATATGTAAGTTTAGAAAATTGTGATCCAAGTGAGGCAAGAATAATTATAAGGAGACAAGAGTGCAGAACTGCAAGTCACTTGTTAAAGACTTAGTGGTATAATCTGTAGTCTATGTAGCTTAGTCTGTTGAAATGATATCACAGGTGGTAATGGGTCATTGAAGTGATATCACAAGTGGTAATGAACTGTTGAAGATCTATCACAGGTGCTAAACAAGTTGTCTTATACGTGACTAATTCCAGACGAACATTGAGAGTTCCCCATTTTTTCCCTTGTATTAACAAATATTATTTATGAATTAGGGTTATTATTTAATTATTTTTGCAATTACATATATTCCAATTTCTTTCCTGTACCTGGGAGAATATGGGACAATTATATTTGCTCTGAGGAAGGGAAAGGTAGATCTAGTGCCCTTTGATACAGATCCCGTCACCAGCTTCAAGGCACCAACCTTCCTTGGAGTAATTTGAACTATTTTGAAAATCCCTTCATAAAATTTTATTTAATATACATTAAAACCCAAAAGTTATCTGACAAAATTTTGTCCACAGCCAAGCGTGAGCAGTGGGCCTGGGCTGCCCCACACGCCGCACACACCCCACACACCTCATACTCCCCACACTCCTGGTGGAGTAGGTGGCCCTCCTAGTGTCCCTTCTGCAGGTGAGTTGTTTTACAAAAGATTCACAGCTGAATTCATCTTGCTCTGATGACTATAAGTGAGCAAAAAAATTAAGTATGTACTGTACCTTATTTTCTGGGCTTCAAAAATCATATTAATTGTTCAGGGCAGTTATGCAGTAAAATCATTTATTATAAAATAGTTTTACTTAGTGATGTTATGTACATTAAGCTTGATTATACTTTCCATAACGAACTTTTAATAAGTTTATTCTGTTTTAACTTCTGGTACCAGTGTAGTAGTCATACTTCAGTTTAGTCATTCTACATCAGTTTAAACTACCAATGTAGTAGTGTTGCATAGTTTTTAGCAGTATCTACAAAATAGATAAATTAACCTGGATCACTATCGCTATGTAGTCCAGATATCTACTAGGAAGAAATACAAACTTTAGTATATCATCAGTGACTCTACTTGTACACAGACAACCACTGACAACTATCATTGAATTTCACTATAATCTGTCTCTGTTGTTCAGTAAATAATTATAATCATGGGGGAGCACTAAATCCATAGGATTATACAGCACCTGTAGGAGGGGATGGAAGGTATTCAGGCTCAATTGAGGGAACTGGAGCACAGATCCAGTTCCCTAGATCAAAGAGCCCCTCACCAGCATCATGGAACCTCCCTTGAGGGGATTATTCAGTAAAAGTCCAACAGCAATAAGAGGTAGTAATTCCTAAACAATATTAAATTTCCATATATAATCATCATTGTCTTAATAATGTTTAATCTGCAAACTGATTACATTTGTATACAGATCATATAGTAAGCTTTAGTTCGTATAATCATTTAGGTATATCTAGCAAAAATAAGAGTAGACATTATAGTGTATATACATCAAGATGTACTAGGTAGTAGGTTGGTAGACAGCAACCACCCAGGGAGGTACTACCGTCCTGCCAAGTGAGTGTAAAACGGAAACCTGTAATTGTTTTACATGATGGTAGGATTGCTGGTGTCTTTTTTTTCTGTCTCATACACATGCAAGATTTCAGGTACATCTTGCTACTTCTACTTACACTTAGGTCACACTACACATACATGTACAAGCATATATATATACACACTCCTCTGGGTTTTCTACTATTTTCTTTCTAGTTCTTGTTCTTGTTTATTTCCTCTTATCTCCATGGGGAAGTGGAACAGAATTCTTCCTCCGTAAGCTATGCGTGTTGTAAGAGGCGACTAAAATGCCGGGAGCAAGGGGCTAGTAACCCCTTCTGTATATATTACTAAATTTAAAACGAGAAACTTCTGTTTTTCTTTTTGAGCCACCCCACCTCAGTGGGATACGGCTGGTGCATTGAAAGAAAGACATCAAGATGTGAATATCTCTCAGTATATACTTTTCTTTTTAGGAAATAAGGTATTCTTAATGAACAGGTGACACATGTAGCCTCAGTAACCCTCATGCAGTTGATAGGCTTTAAACGTAACCAACCAACCAGACAATGGCCTATGATGTCTCTATATCATCATCACTAGGGAAGGTGTATGTTCAAACAATAGCACATTAATATTATTATTATTACAATCAAAAAGAAGCGCTAAGCCACAAGGGCTATACAGCAGCACATTAATAATAGTGTAAGGATGAGTGACTTGTATACTTAAGACTATTTCTTCTATTTACAACTTGATCATGCAGATCACTCACGCCCTTTTTGGAGATTTAGCACAAAAGCTACTCAGGGTTTAATCATGGTTTCTTTCCATATAACTTTATTTTTAAATAATGTTTTTTGTTACAAATCACAATTTACTTTATTATTGCCTATATTATAAGTGACTCTGTTGGCATTTAACTTTGTCAGAAGTCTGTCAACACAGGCAGTAAACAATAGACAAAAATCAGCACCTTGTTTAGACCCATTGTCATTGTGGAAATATTCACATGACATTGTTCCATTACATAACCCCATTACTAATTTGTTAGGATCTGGAGGGGGTTTCAGGGGTCAATGCCCCCAAGGCCTAGTCTGTGACCAGGCCTCGCAGTGGGTCAGGGCCTGATTATTATTATTATAATCAAGGGGGAAGCGCTAAACCCGGAGGATTATACAGCCAGGGCCTGATTAACCATCTGCAAATTGTTCTAAAGAACTTGTCATGGTCTCTAAAAAATACATTAAATGTTTTAAAATGCATACTAGTTACACTTTCTGAGTTGTAATGTTTATTATCAAGAAACTGAACAGTGTCTTCTGTGCAAACTGAAAAACCATAGATTATTAGCTCATCAAAATAATAACTAGTATAGAAGCTTGAATTAAAAATAATGATATACTGTACTATCAGCAAGAAGGCTTAAAATTATTATATTTATGAGGGAAGAGGGCTAAACACTGAGGGGTCATACAGCGTTGGGGAGACATTCACGTATGATCCAATGGAGGAAAGATTTAATTCCTTGGATCAAGAGCCCCTCACTAGCATCAAGAAACCTCCTTTTGAAAGTTAAAAAATATGTGCACTTTTGGTTTTATGTTTAAAATTTGTCAGAGAAATGTTATAGGCATCAACCTTTTAGCTCTCCTAATTCTTCTTTTCATTGCAGGTACTTGCACCAACACATGCAACAGTAGCAGCAGCAGTACCACTACCACTACCACCACCAATAATAATAATAACAATAGTAGTAATAATAATACAACTAATAATAATAGTAACAGTACTAGTAATACTAGTAACAGCAGCACCAGTAGCAGCAACAGTACCAGCAACACCGAGACACACAACACCTGCAATGAAATGAATGACCTTCCAACACTAAGTTTTGATCCCTTGGATGGTGATGGGTCTGGACAAGATGGCTTGGATGTGAGTGTAAGTGTGAAATTTATTAATTAACCACTGTCCCATACATGAGGATTTACAACAACAAAATCTACATCAATATTTATTTTTAGTTAAATAATTTTCCCTTTCATCACTTGGCTTGCATGTCTGTATTTTAGTTTCTTTTTCTTCCTCTCTTGTATGTGCTTATTGAGGGCTTTCCTTATGTTTTTTCACAGTGCAAGTATCATCAACTTTCCTTAAATCTAATCAGCATATAACTATAAACATTTTTAAACATTTAATGCATCTGAAATACATTTGACAATCTCTTCAAGGAGAAAAATGGTTCCACATGGATTATTTTCACAAGAAAGTGCTAAACTAAAATGGGGTTCCTAGATGAAATCCAAGGGTATAATTCAGATGACTGAGGAGGGGTTACTGAGGTGGTTTGGGTATGATAGGATGACAGAGTATAAATCTGGGGTAGAAGGTAGGAGAGGTAGGTTGGGAGGAATGGTTGGAGAGAGGATTCTTTGAGCTTCGGGAGTTTAAGATTCCAGAATGCTTGTGAGCGTGTTAGTAAGTGAATGGAGACAAGTGATTTTTAATAGATGTCCTGTTGGAGTGTGAACTGAGTAACATTTATGAAGGGATTCAAGGAAACTGGTTAACCAGACTCAAGCCCTGGAAATGGAAAGGGCAGTGCCTGCACTCTAAAGAAGTGGGAATTTTACAGTTGGAGTAGTAATCTGATTGCAACATCAGCACACTTCTGATGGTGACTGAGTGATTGTTGGCGAGTGCATTTTCTTCTTTGGGTCACTCTGCCTTTATGAGAGACAGCGATAATTTCCAGTTGCTGTGGAGAATACCTGCCACTCAATTGTCATATTTTTTTTCCAAACCACTCACAGAGGAAGTGGAAGTGATGGTAGAAACAATCTCGATAACAAGTGCATTTTGCTTCATGGATTATACACCAGGCAACCACTCACGCTTCTTTAACATCAAGGAGCTGCTCTGTGGTTCTGTTGTAACAGTAACAGGCCATGCAGCACACTTCAAACACAATGCACAAGCAAAAGAAGAGGTCCACCAAGGCACGAATTTCTGAGAATGTCTACCCAAGATTTGGGGAATTGTAATTGACACAAGTAAAGGGCCCAATCTGCTTGTTCAAACTGCCAATGTGGGCCATAAGGAGGTCGGGAATATGAATGGTAAGTAAGGAGAAGAGGAAAATGATTGCTGTCATGTAAATCTGGTACTACTGACCAAGTAAAATCAAGTGCAGTTGAAGAAGAGCAAATAGATCTATGCAAGAGAAAGTTTAAGTGGAAGTACCTATATTTAAAATATGGAGGGGAAGAGAAATGAGAAGAGCCTCTAATTGATTGCCATGAGAGTAACAGTGAGACCCTCCCCAGAGGAAATGAGCATTAAAATCACCTAATAAGAGGAGTGGTGTAGGTAAGGAAGAAACCAGAAAATCAACATCAGGAATAGATAATGGTTGAGAAGGAGAAAGATACAATGAGCAGTCTGTATACCACGTGTTGAAGTATATATTGGCTGCAGTGTATTGCAGTGAAGTATGAACAAAGATCAGAGAATGTGGTATACCAGCACACACAAGAAGTGCACTTTCATTAAATTTACCATCGAGAAAAAGATCTGCTGACAGCAATAAGACAGTCTGAGATGGGGAGGATACATTTTTTTTTTTTTGGTAAAAAAGAGGTGGGGGGGGGAGAGTGTACAGGGATAACTCCTAGGAGAAAGAGAGAGAGATTGCATATTTTCCTCTGCACTCGAGAGGACCCTCATTGTGGCCAGTAGTGCAGATGCCGCATGGAACCCTTGCCATACCCTACCCTTCATGCCAATAAACCAACAATCCAGGATAATCTCACATCCACTGAGCCACCTTGGCAGACAAAAGAGAGGGCAGTCAGAAGCCCACTGCAAAGCATACTCCCCTTTGGCTGCCACCTCCAGGAACCCAATAGGCAGCCTCCAGAGATACATCTGTCATCTTGAGGACACCCAAAGCTGTCCTCTGGAACTCCAAAGGCTGGATCAGCACATCCCTAGATGATGCAGATTCAACAGCAACCACCACCACCACTGAGGGCCTAAATGAAATGGGACAGACATAGGAGGAGGAGGAAAGGGAAGGACGGAGAAAGATGGGGTGGGGAAGGGAGACATAAGTATTTAGGTTTGGTCTAAGGAAGAAGACTAAAAGGTCCATTTCCTTTGATCAAGAACCTCTTGACCACTGTAAGGAACCCCCCTTAAAGAAGTCCATTATTTAATATAATCAATATGACAAATTTTGGAGATAAAAATGAATTCAGTATTATATTAATTATTTTTTTTTTTATTATCACACCGGCCGATTCCCACCAAGGCAGGGTGGCCCGAAAAAGAAAAACTTTCACCATCATTCACTCCATCACTGTCTTGCCAGAAGGGTGCTTTACACTACAGTTTTTAAACTGCAACATTAACACCCCTCCTTCAGAGTGCAGGCACTGTACTTCCCATCTCCAGGACTCAAGTCCGGCCTGCCGGTTTCCCTGAATCCCTTCATAAATGTTACTTTGCTCACACTCCAACAGCACGTCAAGTATTAAAAACCATTTGTCTCCATTCACTCCTATCAAACACGCTCACGCATGCCTGCTGGAAGTCCAAGCCCCTCGCACACAAAACCTCCTTTACCCCCTCCCTCCAACCCTTCCTAGGCCGACCCCTACCCCGCCTTCCTTCCACTACAGACTGATACACTCTTGAAGTCATTCTGTTTCGCTCCATTCTCTCTACATGTCCGAACCACCTCAACAACCCTTCCTCAGCCCTCTGGACAACAGTTTTGGTAATCCCGCACCTCCTCCTAACTTCCAAACTACGAATTCTCTGCATTATATTCACACCACACATTGCCCTCAGACATGACATCTCCACTGCCTCCAGCCTTCTCCTCGCTGCAACATTCATCACCCACGCTTCACACCCATATAAGAGCGTTGGTAAAACTATACTCTCATACATTCCCCTCTTTGCCTCCAAGGACAAAGTTCTTTGTCTCCACAGACTCCTAAGTGCACCACTCACTCTTTTTCCCTCATCAATTCTATGATTCACCTCATCTTTCATAGACCCATCCGCTGACACGTCCACTCCCAAATATCTGAATACGTTCACCTCCTCCATACTCTCTCCCTCCAATCTGATATTCAATCTTTCATCACCTAATCTTTTTGTTATCCTCATAACCTTACTCTTTCCTGTATTCACCTTTAATTTTCTTCTTTTGCACACCTACCAAATTCATCCACCAATCTCTGCAACTTCTCTTCAGAATCTCCCAAGAGCACAGTGTCATCAGCAAAGAGCAGCTGTGACAACTCCCACTTTGTGTGTGATTCTTTATCTTTTAACTCCACGCCTCTTGCCAAGACCCTCGCATTTACTTCTCTTACAACCCCATCTATAAATATATTAAACAACCACGGTGACATCACACATCCTTGTCTAAGGCCTACTTTTACTGGGAAAAAATTCCCCTCTTTCCTACATACTCTAACTTGAGCCTCACTATCCTCGTAAAAACTCTTCACTGCTTTCAGTAACCTACCTCCTACACCATACACTTGCAACATCTGCCACATTGCCCCCCTATCCACCCTGTCATACGCCTTTTCCAAATCCATATTTTTTCAAATTATGTATCACTGGTTGCATTGAGCCTTAGTCTGTACATACATCTTTCTTAATATTATAACAGTATTATTCTTTTTCCAATAGGTATTTAACAGTGGTGTAGACCCTATGGATCCTCTAGAGCTGTTATCCTACTTAGAACAACCAGACTACAACACTCCACCATCTTCTGGAGCCTCATCGCAAGGCCAAGGAGCTGGGAACACTCCTGCTGGTGCTGGCCTGTCTGCTGCTCCTGATACAGATGATATACTGGCCCTGTTTGAGTAGTAAAGCTTTTACAATGGCCATGGCAGAGATGTGGAAAGAATTCAGGTGCTTGGATATTTGATATCTGCGTTTGCGATTGTGCTGACTGACTGCAGTCAAACAGTGAAACAGTTGTGAATTTAAACTTTAATCTATAGAAAATTTGAAGAACTGTGATACTCAAACTAGATTTGAGAGAAACTATTGTGCATATGCAGACATCTCAGTGGACTTCACAGTCTTCATTCAAGAGAAAATAATGGGGGTACACAAATTTAAGCAGTGAGACCAATGATACATGTGTGATGTTTAATGTGAGCACAGTTCAACAATGCACATCTGGACAAGGAGCCATGCAACAACAATGTGCACTATGATTTATAAGGGCAGGTATGTTGCCCCAGTACGAGTTTTGTAGTCAGATCATAGTGAAGCATACGTACATATTCTGATATTTAGAAATGACCAGTGCAAATCATTGTAATAATCATTTATCAAAGTTCCCTCATATTTGCAAAACAGAATATATCCTCACACTGGGGTTATGTCAGAAAAGAGGCTATATTCCAAAGTAGCAAAACAGTTCTTTTCATGTTTAGCTCCAGTGGACACCATGAAGGTTATCCCAGTTGAGTAGTTAGGTTGACAAGTTTCGTAGAATAATTATTGTGGCTACGCAATGATGTCCACAGTAGTGCTGTTTCAAAATCAATCATGACATCAAAATGACAATGTGCATAATATTGTCTTAATTAGGAACTTGCAATTTTAGTCCATGTTGGTTGTTCTGAGTTTTAGACCATAACAGTGACATGAAGAGAAGCATGTATCTCCGTAGGTCCTCAAGCGCATGTAAATACAACTCTCAGAAGACCAAAATGAGAGGCTGAATCAGTCTGAATGAATGTCACAGCATTATTGCAAGATGTGTATTAAGTTGACATTATTCAGAAAAAAAGGGTGTGCAACTGCGACTGAGTCCCAAGAAATTTCTCTGAGTGTTGTTGTGAATGAAGTGTGATATTTCTGGCTGCACAGGTTTATGGGTGGTTTATTGTCTAGACGAATTATTGCATTTATTTATAGGGTACTCCTGTGTGCCTGTCAGCCTAGTTTGTGTAAATAGCTGTGTACAGAAAATGTCCTTTTATTTATCTCACTGGTCTCGCCCTTAGAGTCCTGCGCATTGTCTAAGCTTTAATCCCTCGCTCCGTCTTCACCAACATGACCTGTAGGATACACCATCACATACAGTACACCACTGCAATTATTGACTCCTTTCCACCACCTGAGCAAGTCTAGACTCTGGGGCTGACTTGTTGCGGGACGGTAGAGTCGAAACCTCAACCTGGCTATTAAACCGACTTTGGTTTCAGAAGATTTATCATATGTTACTTTTTGTGTCAGTTCGTTTTTTTGTACATCTCTGACACTTGAGTGCATCTTAAATCCTCATTCAAACTGTGTTCCTATCTATGATTAAGAATATTTTTTGTTACTCACCGAGCATCTCATTTTCTTCTGAAACCAGAGCCAGTAGGCTTCATGCATACTCTGTTGACCGTCAAGTGTACTGAAGCTTAAATGAAATGTTTAATTTTTATGAAGATAGATTTATGCACTTATACAGAATCACTGAAAGTGTTTTTATGTACTGTGTACAAAGAAAAGTGGTTTAACATTGTGATCTCAAGATTGTCATTTTTAAAGTTATTTAGAGAAATTCATACAATGAATTTTTAAACTGTTAGTGACTGTCAAAGAGTTTGTGTAAGCCATCACTTCTCATGTAAACTGTACCAGAGAACTTAAAAGATAGTTTCTAACTCAGAAAGGTTGTTTCATTTCTGATAGACTTACCGTCATCAAGGTGCATAACTAGACTTTTACTACATTTTTCAGTTGGAACATAAATCATTAAAATAGTTTGAGAAATCAGTAACAAGGGAAGACAGTGCCTTGATGCTGATGGGTTCTTGATCCAAGGAATTGAGCTAAAGTACCATTCCTGATCAAATGTGATACCCTTCCTTTCCCAGACACTGTATTGCCCATATGGGTTTAATGCTTCCATAAAACTGAGCCAAAAAAACAAAGTATATACAGTACAGTAATGTATTATTACATCATGGGAGGGCTGGGGGGGGGGGGGTTAATCAGAAGTCATATAAAATTTAGGGGAGAATGGGAGGCAATTGAGTCTAGTCCAAGGAAAATCCAACTCCATAGATCAAGAGCCCATGACTAGCATCATGGAACCTCCCTTCAGGAAATAGTACTGTAAACTTAAACCAACTTAAGGATTGTGTCTAGAAATAGCATTAAAGATGTATGGAGCTGATACAGTGCCTGTGGTGTGGGATTTAATTGGGTTTGATACAAGGAAAAACAAGAGTAGACCAATTCCTTGGATAAAGATCCTTTCAACAGCATTAAGATGCATCACCTCGAGGACCTGCTGTCATAGACACCAACATAAGTGCTCTTTATAACATGGATGTCATTTCATAGACACCAACAGAACTTACCAGCATTTGCAATGAAACCAAGAAGTTATTTCATATTTACAGCATCAAGAGTTTATATAGTATTAAAACTCTTGCTTCCCAAAACAAATTATAATTTCATATGTAGGAGGGCCGCTCCTACCTTCACACATCCCTGCCCACAGTGTGCTATGACCTAACAGGGGGAGCACTAAACCCTTAGTGGTCATACAACACCTGGGAGATTGAGAGGCAATCAGGCTTGATTTTAGAAAGAGGTCAGTCCTAATTCCTTGGATCAAGAGCCTTTCAGCAGCATCAGTGAATCTTTTGAGGGGCATGAGGACTTAAGACCACGTTTAGAATATGTAGGGTAACTAAATTGGAGAATCCCGTCAGTAGAGGTTCCTTGATGCTGGTGAGAGGCTCTTGATTCAAGGAAATGGACCTGCTCTCCTTCCATGGATTGAACCCAATTACCTTCCATTCCCCTCTATTAGTTTAGTGCTTCCCTTATGAATGTAATAATAATGCATTTACTTCACCTTTGACATATCTTGGCTGGAACAGTTCACGAAAAACCTGCAAGACGATGTTTCAGTTCATTCTAGACTTTTGTCAAGTCACAAGAGTTGTAAGTTGACATTAATCCAGGCTGGACCAAAACATCATAAGGTTCCTCTCCTAATTGTGGGTTTTTTGTTGAATATATTCAGGAAAACATGCAGATTAAGTAACTATACCATTCTTGAAGTGGAGGCAAGTCCCATAGTCCATTAAGTAACTGTGTTAGGCAGACAGGGCCAGTGAAGTGACGAGCAAGGGCCGTCTCCCAGTCTTAGCATACGAGGACACAGTACCTCCAGAGGCAAGCAAGTCGCAGTCTCACAGGTTATTGGGACCAACAAATGGACTATTGAAGCTGCCAGACATCAAGAACCACCTTACCACTGGAAAGAACTTTTCATATAGGAAAGGGTGTAGCACTGAGAAGGAATAGAATGTTTCATACTTAGCTGTTGTAAGCAGCATCCTTTTATTCCCAAAATTGGCATGGGCAAGGATGCAACGGATATGAACTTGCCACTCTACCTTCGGCCAAGAAGAAACAACCATTCAAAAATTTCTTTAAAAGATGAAATACCAATGACTGATTAGTTTGCTCATTTACACTTTCCACAATTCAGTCTTGGGTAAAAATGATTACTAGTAAATTACCAAATGGCTAAATTATAGAACAATATAATAAAATGTGACTTTTTAATCATAAAAAATTAAACAGATTTTATACAATTTTAAATTCTTTAATATTTTATTAATATTGAACTTAAGCAAGGAATGTAGCTGGATTATTTTTAATAATAGCTTACCATTCAGGGTAAAGAATGCTTGCTGCTGAGCTATATTACATTCATAGGGAAATGCTGTATCTACAGAGGGTCATACAGTACCTGGAGAATGGGAGGAAATCAGGTTTGACCCAGAAAGAGAGAGGGTATACCTGGAGAGGGTTTTGGGTAACTTCTATTCCTTGGATCAAGGGCCCTTCTTCACCTGTATCAAGTAGGGTTACTCAAAGGGTCAGCAGCTAGTAAATGGTGCTTGAACCAAAGACCTTGATGGTCTCCCCTCTTTCTTGAGCTAAACTATTATCTCTCATTCCCTCCTTTGGAGACGGAAGGGAAGTACACTGGTATTTCAGCAAGATGATCATGTCAAATTTTGTATTCCTTTTGTTTTGTACATTCCTTTTCACGTTATCTATTCAGGTGCCAGAACAAAACAAGACAGTTGGACAATGTTGCAAGCCGAATAACCACTCGAAGACTAATTGACGATCAACTGCAATAATAATAATAATAACAGAAACTACAATATACCCAATAAGTGACTGGAAATAGACTACGTAATCATTGTGACTGGAAAGAAAATATTCAGTATAGCTCTTGATATGATCAAGATCTGTATTGGACTATTTGATAGATGAATATCAAGAGAATGAACACATGATTTTTGTTTCAAAAGGTGAAAAGATTCTGAACAGCTCTGCAGTACCAAATGACCCCCACAGGTTTCATGTTTTCCAATGAATATGTAACTAATAATAATTCTCAACAGCTCTGGAAAAGATAAAGATAGAAGAACATAGTAAATGAGAAATGGTCTATTTTAAACAAGGTTATTTTTAAGGCAATGAGGAGTTGCAGTTCTCACATTAGGTCCTATAGCTGCTTCATCAAAGGATAATGGTATAGAATGCATTAAAGTAGTGTTTGCCACATTATACATGATATGGACAATGGAAGTAATTACTATTATTCATTGCTTGATGTTTCAACCCAACAAATATGAATGGTTATTACAATAGTCAGTTTCATCTGCAGAAGAACTTTAAGATATTGAAAAAAATAGCTTGAAAGTACAGGAGGGCCCCATTCATACAGCTCTACATATGGTGCTGGTTGTCCTCTCCTTATGCAACTGTTGTACAAAAGTGGCGAAAACAGCGGTGAGTGGTAAAATCACCAAACATAATGAACAAGGACTCAATTGAGAGCCAACAAAAGCATGGAACACTGAAAATAGGTGCTGTATATGTTGGGGCCCTCCTGTAATAGCTTACCATTTAAAAGCCTAAATGTCAGTAGTCCTGGACACACAGGTTCACTCCCAGGAAGGTCTTTTTTCTTTAATTGTTTCATCTGGGTATATAAATAAATCAGCATATAAAGTTGATAGCAAGTTTATTTGAACAAAAATCTTTTAATACATAAGGATACATATCACAGACTTCACCTACCAACTCAGCAAAGAGTATATTTAAAGTCAAATCCTAACCTGGCAGTAACTCTCGACACTTCAGTTTAGTCTGCCGAGCGAGTCCCGCACACACTTCACACGAATGAGACTTCCTTAGACTTACCGTTCAATAACACAAGAAGAGTTTATAACATGCATTGAGGCAGGAAGAAGACCATCCACACTGTCAGCATAATATTAGGCTACCCCCCCCCCCCCCGACCCCAAGATGAAGATCACACTACAATATAAATGCATACATAGTTCATGTGGTCATGCATCTACTTTTTAGACTACCTGCCATACGATGTTATACATACCCTGTTAATATGCTTTATGATTCTCATGCCCCCTCCCCCCTTCATTTACTTTTTAATGCTTAAACTATTGTAAATTTAAACCTTTTCTGTTTTCTATTTTTAAATATTTTACAAATAACTAAGATTTATTTGTTCATAATATGTGCAAGAAATTTACAGACCAATTTTCATGTACAATTACAGTATATATATATATATAAAAGATGCTGACTCAAAAGGCATTTAATTTTTATAACATATGATGCATTACTTTGTTCTTTGTGGAGTAAAGAATCCAATGGTAAACTTTTGATTAACCCATTAGCTATCAACCTGAGGCATCTTGTAGCAAAACAAAAAGAAATTAGATTACCTAAAAAAAAAAAGCCTATTTTAACTATTTAAGAAATGAATATATCATGGAAGATACAGTTGTGGTTTATAAGGATGCTCAACAAAACTCCTTCATTATGGCAACTGCTGCCTACAATATACTGCTTTACAATAGTACTTAGTTAAGGTCATCAGTTACAACCACTACTAAGAACTGAACCAGTATTATGTGGTCTTAATACTGTGTACCAAAATATTGAAGAAATTAAAATAATATCCCTTATTATAGCAAGGTGGTCTAGAGGCAGGGATTTTTTATCATGTGGGATTCTACTGTGCTCAATATAGGCAGACGTGGCATATACAGTGCTGTATAGGGCGGAAGTATTTACCACTAATGAAAGGTTGTGCACATAAGACTCCTTCAATGTCATTATCAAAACATCCAACAAATTATGGAATGTATAATTAATACAAAAATTGTGGAGCATGTGAAAAGAAGCAGTGTTGCAGAGGTAAAGTCAAGAGTGACAATTTACTGCTAAGAATGGACGAAAAACAAAAAAGTTGCAATAAATTTAAAGTCGAGATTCAAAATACTGGGAAGTTATTTCCCAGGAGTCAAATGTGAGCCTGTGATCCACAGGCACCCAGCTGTGTGAAGGAGTGCCACCCTTCCCAGGGATCAAACCCCCTTCAAGCTTTAAGATTTGGACTATAATATTTAAAAAGTCCTGTATGTGCATTCTTTTAGCAATCAGAATGATTGTCTGAAGAGCATATTAAAAACTTAATCATGTTCAAGTCCTTAATTATGGAACTGCCTGAGTTAATCAGTTGAACATAATCATTATACAGTACTGATTCTGTACAGTATTAATAATTTTTCTGGCCTGGCATTACTGAGTGAATAATTCTACTGTTCCTGGAGATTAATACTATAAACACAAAGATATGCATTTCCATGATTTCATCCACCCAATGTGATCCACAAATGTACAGATATTTTAACATAGCAGAACTATTTAATTTATGCACACAAAAAAAAATAAGGTGTCTAATCCCTTTAAAAATTTTGACAGTTTCAGTAAATGCAAACCAGCATTGATCCACTCCAGATCAGCAACTCAAAACGTCAAAATTTGAACACCGTGTCGGAGAAAACATATAAAATATTCAGATTTAGCGAAATTCCCAGCACATCTTAGATCATCAGTAACATTGTAGTGCTTGTCATTAGTCATTAATGACACTGCAATTCTTGCCAGTTAATGGAACATCCAGCACACTGCTGATCATTAATAACAATGTATACTTCTTACCAGTTAACCCTTTCACTGTCCAGACCTTCGAAATTAATATTGCTCTCAGTGTCCACTTTAAAAAAATAATCCTTTGAAATGGAAAACTTACAGAGACCATAATAAACAGTGTAGACATTCCTGGCACTAAAACAACTTTTTATCTGTTCATTAGTCACATCCCAGGCCTCTCCTATATTACACTTGCCTTCCATTATGAAGCTCTATTCACACAAAAATAGATTTACTCTCTTTCTTGGATAATAAAATATAACCAGGAAAGATTGGTCACGGATTACAGTATCTCAATAACTGAATCACACCTATTAAAAACCCATAAAACAGACCAGGGTTATAGAGGAGCCAGACCAATCCTCTGGAATATTGGCAAAATTTGAATATTTCCACTACTCTGAGCTCAATCTCAAGCCAATTTCAGTCCTGAACCCATCTTTATTTAGTAGCATATCTTCCATTCTATCAAATAATACCAAGAAACTGCCAATAAAACCATAAAAACACCTCAATGTTGCTATTATAAAACCATACACAAGGTCACAATTTTTTTCCCATAATGTACTGCATGGGACAGCATTATTTTCATGCCTGCACAGACCCATTCTCTCATATCTAGTCCAAAATCTACTGCTCACAGCTTATCTGAGTGAGCTGAGCTCATGACACAGAACTATGTGAGGAAGCCTGTCCTCAACAACCTAGTTCTATGTGATGGACAGTAGAAGGGTTAATGGTGTACCCATCACATTCCTCAATGTACAATTTACACTGCATGTCTAGCTGAACCACAACAGTATAACACAGTAAAATTAGTTTTTCTTTTAAAAAAAAGTCTAATTATTTCAAGAATTCTTGCTCAGATATATTTAACCTAGTTTCTTCCATTCACCATAAAGTACACTTTAACCTCTGACTTCTTCAAAGGGAGTTAGTGCTCTACAATAGTATACTGTACATCACAGTGGAGTATATATATTATTAAGAAGCAAAGTAAACATTGCTTACTGTACAAAATACTGCATTCTTCTCTCAAAATAAACAAATCTATTTAGATACAAAAAGAAAGCCACACATTTTTTAAGTGAATCTAATGTATTAACTGTAATAATCCACTTTTACAGTTAGAGGAATTTGTAGCCAGAAAAAGTTCTTGCTGGGATACCCTTCAAGGATGCTAGTTTTAAGGGCTCCTAATCCAGGGAACTGAAGCTGTCCTTCACCTCCTTGGATCAAACCTGATTTCCTCCCATTCCCCATGCACTGGATGACCTCATGAGTAAAATAAACAAATAAATCTAGCTGAGATAGATTAGAAGAGCTGCCTCTCACTCCCTGCATCTACACGGCTTGCCTCCTCTCTTAGCACCAAACTCAACATCAAACCTATCTGAATTACAATCAAGCATTTCCTCCAAAATTCATATACAGTGCATAGGATTTACTTAAATCTAATATGCTATGAAAAGCATTGATAGACTTGAATGTTTTTCTATATAAAATGAATTTACAAAACAATTTTCAATAACTTACAATAAAATTATGTGGTAAGGAAATGTTTGTCCTGTATGGCTCAATAGACCCACTCAGGGTGTCCCCTCCTTCCATCTTACCTCATACACATTGTTGTGTCTCCTCCTTCCATCTTACCTCATACACATTATTGTGTCCCCTCCTTCCATCTTACCTCATACACATTATTGTGTTCCCTCCTTCCATCTTACCTCATACACATTATTGTGTTCCCTCCTTCCATCTTACCTCATACACATTATTGTGTCTCCTCCTTCCATCTTACCTCATACACTTTTACTTTATAAGAAAATGACCAGAACTGACTTTATAAACATTAAAGAATAACTACTTTATAAGGATTACTATTGTACATAATAACTGTCCTTAAGTTTTTCTTCGTCACTGAATAAACCTTGAAGAGCTTTTACATGTGAAGAATCTAATGGTAAAAATTCAGTAGTAATTTTGAAGGACCTGTAAAATGGCTTTTAGTGAAGTGACTAGGCTATTATATGTATTAAGTTTTATTGATCACAGCTGCAACTGAAGCTGTCCTGCTTTGAAATATATAAACAAATTATTCTGGTAATTATTTAAAAGTTTCAAAGAGCAAACCTGATATTTATAACATTTTGAATGAAAGCTCAAACAAGTTCCGTTAAACTACATTTAACTGATAATTTACTAACATTTCACTTCATTTATTTGTTAAGCACCGAAATTGGGACCATGACTTTTCTTTTCATGAATTATGCTACTTTAGCTCTATTAAAGGGCTGAACTATGCCATACTTACCCTTGGAATTTCTTCATGACATGCCAATGAGTGTACCAGATTTATATAGACCAACTGTTACTTTCAGGAAAAACAATACTTAGTTCATTCACACTCCTTACCTGAAAAACAACTAACTTGATCTCTGAGTTATGTAGCCAAAAATTTTAATTGTGCATAGTAATGTATAAATTATGGCATTCAGTTCTTTTATTTTTAACACACTGGCAGACTTCCACCAAGGAAGAGTGACCCAAGAAAGAAACAAGAAGAAAAATTTTCACCATCATTCACTCAATCACTATCTTCCCAGAAGTGAGCTGACATCACAGTTCAGATGACCTTCCGAATTGCAACAGCCCCCAACCTCCTTCACAGTGCAGGCACTGTACTTTCTATCTCCATGACACAAGTCTGGCTAACTGGTTTTCCTGAATCCTTTCACAAAAATTTCGTTGCTCACACTCCACCAGCACATTCATTAAAAACCACTAACACATACTTACATGCCTGTTGGATGTTCAAACCTCTAGCACTTAAAACCTCCTTTACCCCCTCCCTCCAAACTATCCTGGAATGACCCCCTACTTTTCTCCATCCCAAATTTATATATCCTTCTAGTCATCCTATTCTGCTCCATCCTCTTGTTGCACAATTAACAAAACAAATTTAACTAAATCACGAAATTAGTTTTTGTCTTGGAAGCGAGGACCTGGCTATATCATTGACCTTTCAAATTCATGGTACTGTATGCTACATTTGTGGATTTCAACTCACAGGGTATATTCAACATTTTTATTGAAGGGTCTCTCACAAACATTTATGAATATTTTATCTGGAGGGGCCCATTCTGTTTTTGTTTGGTACACAACCCCTAAACTGAAAACCAACCAGAGAATTTTGTTGGAAATATGCTTACTGGATTTCTTACACCTAAGATATACCATATTTCATAACAGTCTTTTTTATGCAATAAAGCAATTAGTGGTATCCATGGTTTCTAAATTCGATAGGACCTCTAAGAATGTAACTCTTGTAAATTTGAAGAAATTAGAGTATCAAAAAATATAGAGAATGAGAGACTGGGTATCAGATTGGAGGGAGGAAGCATGAAGTAAATGTGTTCGGATATTTGGGATAGGACTTGTCGGCAGATGGTTCTACGAGAGATGAAGTGAACCATATAAATGATGATGGGAAAAGGTGGGTGATGCACTGAGGTATCTGTGAAGGCAAAAATGGGAATGTACCAAAATATAGTGGTACCAACACTGTTGTCTGGTTGTGAAGCATGGGTTTTGAATGTTGCAGTTATGAGGACACTGGATATAGCAGAGATGTTGTGTTTGAGGCCAATATGTAGTGTGAATATTATGTGAAGAATTTCAAGTTTGGAGATTAGGTGGTGGTGTAAAGTTACCAAAAGTGTTATTCAGAGGACTGAGGAGAGGTTGTTGAAGTGGTCTGTATATATGGAGAGGGCAGAGAATAACAGGATGCCTAGGAGGCAAATAAAATTGGAGTGGAGGGGTAAGGGTCATCCTAGGTAAAGTTGGAGGGAGGGGGTAAAGGAGGTTTTGGGTGCTAGGGGCTTGGACATCCAACAAACCTGTATCAGTGTTAGACAGAAGTGAGTGGAGGCAAGTGGTTTTTTTAAACTGACATGGTACTGGAGTGTGAGCAAAGTAACATTTATGAAGGGAGTCAGGAAAACCAGTTTCCTGGAGTTTACCTGGAGAGAGTTCCGGGGGTCAACGCCCCCGCGGCCCGGTCTGTGACCAGGCCTCCTTTTTTTAGCTGAACTTGATTCCTGGAAGTGGGAAGTACAGTGCCTGAACTCTGAAGGAGGGGTGGGAAGTGCAGTGCCTGCACTCTGAAGGAGGGGTGGGAAGTGCAGTGCCTGCACTCTGAAGGAGGGGTGGGAAGTGCAGTGCCTGCACTCTGAAGGAGGGGTGGGGATGTTGCAGTTTGTAGGCCATCTTTGACAGGTGTTTGAATGAGCAACAGTGAAGTGTTTTCCTCTGTGTCAGGTCACCCTACCTTGGTGGGAGACAGCTGAAGTGTTAAAAAAAGAGAAAACTACATTTTTCCTGGTTACTATACAGACAAATGATAAATACCTTTCCAGTTATGTACTGAGGACTGAGTTGTACAACGTGAGTTTGATGCCAAAATGTGAAAGCATTGTACGGATAATGTTTTTTGTTTTTTTTATTATCACACTGGCCGATTCCCACCAAGGCAGGGTGGCCCGAAAAAGAAAAACTTTCACCATCATTCACTCCATCACTGTCTTGCCAGAAGGGTGCTTTACACTACAGTTTTTAAACTGCAACATTAACACCCCTCCTTCAGAGTGCAGGCACTGTACTTCCCATCTCCAGGACTCAAGTCCGGCCTGCCGGTTTCCCTGAACCCCTTCATAAATGTTACTTTGCTCACACTCCAACAGCACGTCAAGTATTAAAAACCATTTGTCTCCATTCACTCCTATCAAACACGCTCACGCATGCCTGCTGGAAGTCCAAGCCCCTCGCACACAAAACCTCCTTTACCCCCTCCCTCCAACCTTTCCTAGGCCGACCCCTACCCCGCCTTCCTTCCACTACAGACTGATACACTCTTGAAGTCACTCTGTTTCGCTCCATTCTCTCTACATGTCCGAACCACCTCAACAACCCTTCCTCAGCCCTCTGGACAACAGTTTTGGTAATCCCGCACCTCCTCCTAACTTCCAAACTACGAATTCTCTGCATTATATTCACACCACACATTGCCCTCAGACATGACATCTCCACTGCCTCCAGCCTTCTCCTCATTGCAACATTCATCACCCATGCTTCACACCCATATAAGAGCATTGGTAAAACTATACTCTCATACATTCCCCTCTTTGCCTCCAAGGACAAAGTTCTTTGTCTCCACAGACTCCTAAGTGCACCACTCACCCTTTTCCCCTCATCAATTCTATGATTCACCTCATCTTTCATAGACCCATCCGCTGACACGTCCACTCCCAAATATCTGAATACATTCACCTCCTCCATACTCTCTCCCTCCAATCTGATATCCAATCTTTCATCACCTAATCTTTTGTTATCCTCATTACCTTACTCTTTCCTGTATTCACTTTTAATTTTCTTCTTTTGCACACCCTACCAAATTCATCCACCAATCTCTGCAACTTCTCTTCAGAATCTCCCAAGAGCACAGTGTCATCAGCAAAGAGCAACTGTGACAACTTCCACTTTATGTGTGATTCTTTATCTTTTAACTCCACGCCTCTTGCCAAGACCCTCGCATTTACTTCTCTTACAACCTCATCTATAAATATATTAAACAACCACGGTGACATCACACATCCTTGTCTAAGGCCTACTTTTACTGGAAATAATTTCCCTCTTTCCTACATACTCTAACTTGAGCCTCACTATCCTCATATTATTATTATTATAATCAAAAAAGAAGCGCTAAGCCACAAGGGCTATACAGCGACTATCCTCATAAAAACTCGAGCCTCACTATCCTCATAAAAACTCTTCACTGCTTTCAGTAACCTACCTCCTACACCATACACTTGCAACATCTGCCACATTGCCCCCCTATCCACCCTGTCATACGCCTTTTCCAAATCCATAAATGCCACAAAGACCTCTTTAGCCTTATCTAAATACTGTTCACTTATATGTTTCACTGTAAACACCTGGTCCACACACCCCCTACCTTTCCTAAAGCCTCCTTGTTCATCTGCTATCCTATTCACTGTCTTACTCTTAATTCTTTCAATAATAACTCTACCATACACTTTACCAGGTATACTCAGCAGACTTATCCCCCTATAATTTTTGCACTCTCTTTTATCCCCTTTGCCTTTATACAAAGGAACTATGCATGCTCTCTGCCAATCCCTAGACCTTACCCTCTTCCATACATTTATTAAATAATTGCACCAACCACTCCAAAACTATATCCCCACGGATAATGTATCTTGCAAAAAACTAAAGTGGAAAAAAATGTCATCTTCCAAAAGTATTGCTAGACTGGTATCAAATTTTGTATCCTAGGTTACTTTGCAACACTATAACAGCAAAATGTCTACAAAACTGCTTGGGAATGTTTCCTCTGATCCTGAAATAACTAGCAAGTAGTTAAGGTTAAAGTTAACCAAGCACCCTCATTTTTACCCATTTTCCTACAGTATCACTCTATATAGTATGATTTCATACTACTGAGTCACAAGAACCAGACATGAGCTGGAGAGTAACAGCAAGCTGTGAAATAAATTCTTACGAATCACATCTGGAGTCATGATATTAAATGTAATAATGTCAGTAGATTACCGACAATATGTTAGGTAAAAGGACACGTGCAGCCAACGTGACTTTTTTTGTGGCAATTTTCTGCTCTCCAGGAGCTTGAGAAAGCTCTTGCAGAGCGAAACGTTGCCACAATAAAATGTTGCATTAGTTGCACATGTGTCCTTTTACCTAACAGAATAATGAATGAAAAGAAAAATTACATAAAGCATTCTCCCTGCAATAATAATTTTTGAACACATTTTGGTGATAAAAGACTATGTAGAGAACGATTTACATTTACTAAATAATGGGAAGTGATAACCTACCGGTATGTATTGTACCTACATAGGTGTATGTATATGGGATTTACAGCAATAAATTCTCAGTTACTATTAGCTGAATGGCAAATATCAAGCCTTACCAATGTTGACGATAGTTCCTGCATGAATTTTATTCCAAAATATAGGTAATAAACACAGAATCTGATTTTTTTTTTTTTTTTGGAAAAAATATATTGGTCATCATTAAGTTATATATTTAAGGTACAGTAATGCAAGAGCAGTGATACACATTTTTTTTTTTTTAGCAAAATCCACATAAAACACCGAGGAAGTAGCACCTTCTACTGCCCAGCCAACCTGACTGTTGGAACCATCCACTGTACGAAATATATAGTAATACAGTATATTCTTGTGAGACAGAAACAACAGTCATATACTACAGAGCTGCACCAAGAACAACCCAAATAACCTTACAAAATTAGCACTCAGACTGTTTATATTTATACAAACAACTTTTAAAGCCTATAGCCTTCTCCCTGACATTATGATCTTTGAACTCTGCATTATGGAATCATTTTTATTTACTGAAGACCATTTGTTTGATCAGTTATTTCTGCATAGACAAAACTCTGAGTATTTACACTAAATATGAATGCTAATTTCTGATATTAAAAGCAAAAGGACAAAAATATTTATAGCTATATAGGGATATACGAAGATAGTTTTCCCCTGGTTACTTTAATCAACATAGTGAATACCAAGCCTTGCCAATATTTGGGAGTTCTCTGTACAAATTGTTTGTGTTAAGATAAAATGTAATGCATGGGGTTTGAATAAAGACCCTTTTGATTTTTTAAGAGGACATCAAGTGTCAAAACTGTCACACAGATCAATATGAAATTTTATGTTCTGGATAACCAATATATTCCTGATTCTCCTAGAAAATTTTCAGTAACTCAGTCAGTAACTTAAATGCAAACAAAGAAGTGAATGATTACCATTAAGATAATCCTAAAACATTAAAGCAAAAAAAAGTTTTATTACTAGAATCTAAATCTAGTAGTGAAATTTTGATTCTGATGTTTGTGAATTGGCAGGCCATAGACCAAAACCCACAGACTCTTACTAGCATGTAAAAACCAGTGAACCCTCACAAGCTGCGAGGCACCACCACACTTTCACATGCTGCGAGGCACCACCACACTCTCACAAGCTGCGAGGCACCACCACACTCTCACAAGCTGTGAGGCACCACGACACTCTCAATGCTGCGAGGCACCACCACACTCTCACAAGCTGTGAGGCACCACTACACTCTCACAAGCTGTAAGGCACCACCACACTCTCATATGCTGCGAGGCACCACCACACTCTCACAAGCTGCAAGGCACCACAACACCCTCAAGCCTCCTATCCTTCCCCATAATCAGGCACATGAAAGTCAGAAGAAACACAAATGAAAATGTACATTATACAACAAAATTAATTTACGAGTAAAAAGAAAAAAAAAACCCAGACCTCGCTGCCATTACTGACAACAACAGAGAAAAGGAAAAGGGCTATCATCACTACTAATCAAGAACAACTGGAGATTCAAAAAATTATCAATCCTGGATTGCAATTACTTTCGATTATTTAAAAGGAACAGTAACAGTTGAAGGTTCCTTGGTTTTTGTGGCTGTCATTAACAATCTGCTACCAAACCACAGGCAACCCAGACTAGAATATAACAGAAATAATCTAATAACAATAAATATCACAAAAAACTGAAGGGCTAGCTTTGTGATATGTTATTTCAACCATGGAGACGCTGACAAGAATTGGTATCTTCAGGGAGGCCCAGAGGCACGCACGCGCACACGCACACGCACACGCACACACACACAAACAAAAAAAAAAAAAAAAAAAAAAAAAAAAACTGCCTGACTCAATAATGAAAAATTTCCTAAGCACCACATCATAGGAGCGACAAAATGAAGAGAAAATGATGAACTGGCAATACTGGACACAGCACAATACTCTCCTCCAGTGATTCAGATATGGAGAAAATTAAATACAAAGAACCCACAGCAGCAAGTTATCAACTATACTACAGTACAGTGGACCCCCGGTTAACGATATTTTTTCATTCCAGAAGTATGTTCAGGTGCCAGTACTGACCGAATTTGTTCCCATAAGGAATATTGTGAAGTAGATTAGTCCATTTCATACCCCCAAACATACACGTACAAACGCACTTACATAAATACACTTACATAATTGGTCGCATTGGGAGGTGATTGTTAAGCGGGGGTCCACTGTACTTGGTACTGTACAAAAAAAAAAAAAAAAAAAAAAAAAAAGAGAGAGCAGACAATGGGAAAGATAAAGAACCAATACAGTATGTGAAGGCAACATGAAGGAGAAAGATACTTTCTGACACAAACAGTTTATTGTTCAATTTAAAAGGTTAAACCACATGGAAAGTAATATAATTTCTTAAATAAAAATAGGAAAGATAAAGTCTTGAATATGCAAAACTCAAGATAGACCAAAGAAGTTCATCCAGACTAGTGCCTAGAGATAAGTTGAATAAATTATGAACAAAGAATGAGGTCAAAGTCACCTTTCTCTAGAAGAATGAAGAACAAGAGGGAATATGATCATAGTACAGACAGGGAAGACAGGATAAGCTTTCTACCTTAGAAGTAATTAGAACAAGAGGACATGGATTGACACAAATATCAAGTTAGCCACACTTGATGTATGATATACAACAAAATGGAACAATACCATGGCTGGAACAATACACAAACAACTTGCACATAGGAGAGAGAAGCTTATGACGACATTCCAGCCAAACTTGGACCATTTACAAGCCAGAGTGTGTGACTTGTAAATGTTCAAAGTCGGACCGAAATTTTGTCATAATCTTCTCTCTTCTATGTGCGGGTTATTTGTGTGATGTATAATATATTTTCAATCAAGGTGATAAAGACAAAAAGAATTCAGAGAGTTATTGCAAGATATCTCTCTACAAGGGTTCAAATGTAGATGTGGTAAACATTTTTTCACACCACTCGGCTAAAAGTTAAGGGAAAGAACCAAGAGCTAAAGTTTAACAAACTTTAACTTAAATAACACACTGAAAATCTGGTGAAGATGTTGTGATTCAGTCGGTCACTGGAGCTAATGGATCATTTGTGTACTTTCGGAAAGGGAGCTAAGGATGGTGATATTGTTTGTGATATTGTTTTCTTCTTGGGTCATCCCCTGGTGGGAAATAGGCAAGACATGAAAAATAATGAAGAGAAAATAAAGACATAATAACACCGAACTATGCATATTTAAGAAAAACCTTCCCTTATGTGAGCTGAATAAAAATTGCAGCACAATAATGTTATTTTGTATTTATAGAAACTCACACATGCAACAAGTATCAATCTAGCTAACACAAGGGGTACCTCAGTTTTCCTATATTATGAGTAAACTTCACTTACCTTAATGCTATGATGACCAAGCTAATTCTTCATCATGTGTGCAAAAGCTGCATTCCAAATTAATAAGAAGTCAGGCGCAGGTAATGTGGATTTCAAATAAATATTAAGTACAGTACTGTACATGTAGGAAAGCTGAAACTTCTTGTGTAGCCACAATAACCAATCTTCTGTACTTCTCTCCTCTAATCAACTACATTACAAGTGGTTTAATGTACCTGCAACAACTAAGGCTTAAAATACAATAAGAGGGACAAATTATATACAAAAAGTTTTACCATAATTGCACAATGCTCATTCACTACATCTATGATGGGGATCTGGTAAGCCTTAATTAATAATGAGTGCCTCTTCTGAATCACCAGTGCTATGCATCTCCCCAAATAATAATAATTTACTGTACAATATACCGTGTTACACTGTACCATCAGAGACTCAACTTTATGTCATGTAATAAAAATAATAAATAATAATAGTAATACAATAATAGTAATACAATAATAGTAATAAAATAATAATAATAAAATATAATAATAATAAATAATAATAATAATAATAAATTTGATACTATAATTCTTGAGTGCCTGTTCTTTCATGAACAGGCACTCAAGGTTCAGTGAAGTACATTATATCATCCTAAGCTCCCAGATGCTGGGGCTGCTTTTCTATTACACAAGCCCTATTCTAAAACAAATGGGACTTTATACATGCGTTAATTAACAGCCCTTGACACCCCACATTCTCCACGTATAACCTAGTCATTCTGGACAAGCCTTATTCCACATCAAGGGTTTTGCTCTACGCTCCACATAATGCCAGTCCTTAAAACACAACTCTGGAAGGGGTATTGAACCCGCCACCCCCAGGTCCAACCCCACAACCACCAGGTGGAGGTGTATCATCATGATCTGAGTCATGGGAGAAGTGGGTCCCACCCGAAACTTGGTACCTTCGTCTCTGAGCCTCGCGATCCTGTTCACTGCGATACTGGAGGTTATCACTCTCAACAGCTTCTCGAAGATCCAAGCGAAGAGAATGAAAGTCTTCCATCAAGGGAACATCAGGAGTTAGACAATCACTTAGCTGTGGAATAAAAAAAAATACATACATACAGAATATACGTATGGTACAAGCTACAGCAAATACACACACACACACACACACACACACACACACACACACAAACACACACACACATTCATTTTTCAACAAACCGGCCATATCCCACCAAGGCAGGGTGGCCCAAAAAGAAAAACAAAAGTTTCTCTTTTTAAATTTAGTAATTTATACAGGACAAGGGGTTACTAGCCCCTTGCTCCCAGCATTTTAGTCGCCTCTTACAACACGCATGGCTTATGGAGGAAGAATTCTGCTCCACTTCCCCATGGAGATAAGAGGAAATAAACAAGAACAAGAACTAGAAAGAAAATAGAAGAAAACCCAGAGGGGTGTGTATATATATGCTTGTACATGTATGTGTAGTGTGACCTAAGGGTAAGTAGAAGTAGCAAGATGTACCTGAAATCTTGCATTTTTATGAGACAGACAAAAGACACCAGCAATCCTACCATCATGTAAAACAATTACAGGCTTTTGTTTTACATTCACTTGGCAGGATGGTAGTACCTCCTGGGTGGTTGCTGTCTACCAACCTACTAACTAGGGATGTCCACAAATATACACATTTTTTTTCTTTTCACACCAGCCATCTCCCACCAAACGAGCAACCCCCCCCACCCCTCAAAAAAAAAAAAAAAATAAGAAAATGCATTCAGTATCATCCATTCAGAAGTATGCAGACATCACAATTCACATGACCCTTTGAACTGTATTATCCTCACCCCTACTACAGAGTGCAGGCACTGTGCTACCCACCTCACCTGGAGGAGATTCTTTACAGAAAGCCAACATGGATTTAGGGAGGTCTATGAAAGACATAAAACAAGAAAGACAAGAGCTGGATGGACTGCATCTTCTTGGACTGCAGGAAAGCATCTCATGAAGCACCACACCAGGGATAAGTGCAGAAACTCGAAGAACAAGAAGGTTAAAAGGCAGAGTACTCCAGTGGGTGATGGAGTACCTGAATGATGGAAAGCAGAGTAACAGTAAGGGATGGAAGAGAATAATGAGTGGGGTTTGGTAGGGATCTGTACCAGGACCACTATTGTCCCTATTAAATGTGAATGATCTACAAAGGGAAAGTGTGTCCTATGTGTCACTATTTGACAATGATGTAAAACTAATAAGAAGAATGAGAACAAGAGAGGATAGGAATATCCTCCAGGGAGACCTTGACAAACAAAAGATGTGATTACTTAAGTGATTTCTCAAGGTAAACCTGAACAATGCCAGGTCATGCAAATCAGTGAAGGTGAGGACAGACCAGACATAGTATAGCATAGGCAAAGAGAAGATGCAAAAATAAGAGTGTAAAAAAGACCTAAGGGTGAATGTAACACCAAGCAAATCAGCAGAAATACACAAACCATATAATATTAGCAGCATTGACAAACCTTGGAAAAGCATATATTAATTTGAATAAACAATCCTTCAGAACCTTATATACCACATATGTAAAGTCAATCATTAGTTTCACATGATGCAAGAAGCCACCCTTAAGGAATTCAATCTTATAGACTGAATTCCTGAAAAGAAAATGGTACTGGGATTCTTACCTTTTTGTAAAACAGTTGATATGCAGTATCTCGGCTGAAAGTTCTGGTGAGGTTGCTTATAGTGGAGAAGGTGGTGTTAGTCACTCTCTCATCATTAAAGTTGTACCAGCCTCCCAGTGCCCCATACCTAATATATAAACAGTAATCATAATTTTGCTCTTACTGTCTTACATAAGCTAGTATACACTCCCTGACAGTTTCCTTCCTCCATAATGTAACCCAATGTACGTACACACACACACACACACACACACACACACACACACACACACACACACTGAACATCAACAAAGTAAAATACCCATCACTAAGCAAAATTGTGATTTTTTATTATGTAGGGTTTCAGAAATTTAATGTATATGGGGAGAACCATAATGCTAGCTTAAAAGTGCAGCTTTTCCATTGTTGTACAATATGAGGCACTGTGCAGAAGAAAAGAACAAGTGCCATCAGGGCAAAAATCCAGATTAGTGAACAAACTGGTCCTTAATGTTTCATCTGCTTGTGGACTGTGTAGACATTGTCTTCTGCATCTGTAAGTTAGGCTCAGCCTCATAAGGTATGTTACCGTAATAAAAGGAAAATGTTTGGGACACGAGGCGTAAAACTTACGTAGTCCAAATCTGAAATATTTTCTAGGTATGGTAAATTTGCCAATTTTAGATAATTAATTTTAGTTTCAATGGAGTGATTTTGTTTTTGTAACCCTTATTTACAAATTAATTATTGTACTGAGATTTTACACTTTAATCTTATATGGCTGGCAGAGACAGTAACTACCCTGTTTTGTGTCACAGTATGAAACTTCTATCTTCCATACAACCAGAGATAAGTCAGAATAAATAACAAAGCTTTAATTGCATTTTTCTCCACTGTTTGAATTTGGCATTTATTCTTTTCTTGCCATGCAATGCCTCAAAGTAATAACCCAATATAGCTTTGAGGTGTTATTTAATACAAGTTATGCAACAAACTCACAAAAAAATATGAAATTTAACAACAATGAAAATAAATTCTAAGCACTTTCATTATCTTACAGTCACACTCTCGTGAACCACAAAATGTGACTGAAAAAATCATAAAAGCATTTGGAATTTATTTCCCTTTCATTGTGGAACTAATTCCTTAATTTGATTCACAGTTCTGATTAAAGTGTGTAGCTAAATGGACAAGGCAGTTCTTAAAAAATAAATAACATATTATACTTTATACTGTTCTACAATGCTATACATTCTTCTTCTTTCAACAAACCAGCCATATCCCACCGAAGCAGGGTGGCCCGAAAAGAAAAACAAAAATTTCTCTTTTCAACTTTAGTAATGTATACAGGATAAGGGGTTACTAGCCCCTTGCTCCTGGCATTTTAGTCGCCTCTTACGACACGCCTGGCTTACAGAGGAAGAATTCTGTTCCACTTTTCCATGAAGTCAATGCTATACATGTATATATAAAAAACAAGTCTTACCTTTCTCTAGCCGATTCTGGTAAAGAGGCAATTGAGGAGTTACGAGCATAGCAGTAGTAGTGCCCTCCTTCTGACGAAAACCCAGAGTGTACCACCACCCCATACAATGCATATCTTGCATATGTCACTTCTTGCTCTTCCTCACAGTCATCTTTAGGAGTCATGCAGTCTGAAGATCCTGAGCTGACTGGATATTCTACAGACACTTCTTTCTGTAGATTGGTAGTGGGCAAGTAACTACAGCCTGGCTGAGGACTTTGCTGGCTGGAGAGTTGGCCTGTACACTGTAAACTGTTATCACCAGATAACTGGCAGTCACCTACTAATGTGTTAACAAAACTGGTCTTGGAACTGCTACAAGAGAAGTTGCAGTTAGCCTCCGAATTAAAATCTGCAGAATAGCTACAGCTTGGCTGTGAATTACTATACGTGCTGTTAATATTACGTGAACCGTTTCCATTGTCACAACCATCTTTAGGCCATGGACTGTACCACTTGCTACTGTCTTGCAAGTTGCTGGCAGTACCTAAGTGAGTACTAGAGGTAGCTTGTGAACGGCAGCTCATGTGGCAGCTACTACTGGTGGCTACTGAAATGCTGCTCTCTCTCTCTGAAACAGAACAATTTGCCTGAGAACTGTTGCAACCTGCCTGGCCAGTGCTGCAACCTGCCTGGCTACTGCTCTTGGCCACCTGCATATAACTACAGCTTGCCTGTGAATTATCAATACACCCTGTATGTGAGGTGCTGCAAATGATTTGTTTACTACCACAGCAGGCATCTGAGCTGCTGATGTTTTCAAGCTGTTTGTCACACTCGCTAGCCTGTAAACCACTGTCTCTAGATGAACTACAAGTAGTTTCTTCACTATTCACATTATGTGCACTAGAACTGACCTGAGAATTTATTTTACACACTGCATTGTCACAACAGTGCAAACTGGGTTCACCTCCTTCTGTGTTCGTCCTACTTGGCATGCTGCAACTAGTCTGTGAATTATGCCTACTAGACATGTTGCTACTATGCCCACTTGTGGTTTCTGAAAATTCTCCAGTAGGTCTTCTGCTCTCACCATTAGGAGACACCTGTGTTACACCTACTGCACCTCTGGAAACTTCTTCCTCACAGCTAATGGAAAAATTGTCACCCATCAAGCCCTGTGTGGAGTACCTTATTGGGAGCATAAGTTCTTCTCCAAATTCTACATTGGTAAATACTTTTTGTCGTTGGCCTCGAGCCGTGTCATAGTAGAACCTGAGCTGAGTGAGAATCAGGTGTTCTGGTGGTTCTAGTATCTGAATGGAGCGTTCAGCGTCCTGTTTACCACCACATCTCTCACATTCATACTGATTCTCTCCAGTCAATCTCTCGGAGGTAAGATAGCTGGTGATCAAATCTTCTATGCTCAGATCAGATGGGTTCTCTTGTTGCTTCTGCTTACACAGTCGATCTGGATTTCGTCTCAGAGCACCAGCAGCATTAAAACGGTCAGAGTCTTGGAATGCTAAGTGAATATCTGTGAAAACATCTTTGTGTATAGACTCTGTTTTACACTGTAGGCACTTGATACAAGTTGCTAACTTTCCACCAAATACTTTATGAACTAAACTAACAAAATATTCATTTTCTGATTCATCATTGTTAGATGTTTCTGTTACCACTTCCTCAATTGTCAAACCTCTCTTGCTTGCAAATATCTCCTTTGGACAGGGGCTGTTTGGGTTAGGACTGTTAATGTGCAGTTCAATATCCTCAGCCAAGTCACCACTGATACCACTGTCTGAGCTATTGTCAATGTCTGATGTTATGTCTCCTTTGGGAGATTTTATCATCTGTCTGTGGACTCCCTCAGGTGTCATATTATGTTTCCTTTTATAATTACCTGTTTTGGAAACATTTTCAGGGAGAGGTTCCATTTCTATTGTCTCTGATGAGCTGGTCCACCATTACCAGTGGCTTTGTTTTCAGAAATATTTTCTACACTCAGATCACTCGCTTCCTGAACAGACTTCACTACTTCACTGCTTTCATCTGTCATATCAATGTCATTTGAATCTAACAGCACTTCTGGTTTAATGGACTGGACACTATGAGTCTTTGTGTCAATCTGATGAACTCCTTCCATTGGTTCTCCTTCCAAATACTCTTTAAACTGTCTCACATGAATGGCAACATCAAATTTTTTGTTGTCTGTATTTTGAGTAAATTTTTAATGGATCCACCTCCCTATCTGTTTCAACAAACACATCATGAGTTTCCCCACATGGCTCAAGTTTCAGTGTATGCTCCGTGTCCACAAAATCTTCTGTTGCTGAATCGTAGGGAGAGGCTGGTCAGATGTCCCAGATGGCTGGTCCCCATTCCTCGTGATGATTCTCTCCCAGATCACTCGCTTCTGTACCTGACTCGTCTCATGCATGCATTTCATTAATGCCTTGAAATCTAAGCATCATCTTTAATGTCTGGAAAACTTTTAATTTTCCCCATTTATTCTTAAATATAATGAGCTATGAATCAACAAAAATTGGTCGTTTTTGAGAAATTATTCACTACGTAACCCTAACCTGAATGGGGGTTTAACAAAAATAAGTTTTCCACGCCAATTTTTAAGGAATGTCCGTTTAAAACTGTTGTGAATCGTAGAAACTGGAGCAAGGCACGGGTCATCTCACTCTCAGTGACCCCCCGTATCAGGATTCCTCTGATTGCTCCAATTATCTAAGTGCTAAACGTATATTAAGTGTCGTTTATTCCCCAATTTATTGTTTAATGGCTGATTGAAATCCGGGTAATAAAATCTACTTACAACACTAATTGTCCTAAAAAATTCGGTCATTAAGGAATTACACATTTACTGGAATGAAAAACAAGAAGCAAGGACTGTAATACAGTATTTAAAATGCCAAGTACAAGAGTAGTGAGAAAGAATATAAAAATAACAGCTAGTCATCCAATTACGGGATATAAATATTATATAGAAAGCATTCAAAATCAGATGCATAAATGGAGTGTCTATTAGAAAAATTATCTTAGATTTGGGAATCTTCAGATATATACAGACATACAAAATGCTACTGAGGAAAGGTTCATATTTCTTCAATAAACACCATCTCCAGGTGACTTTTTCAAGTTTTTTTTGAATATCGATTATGCTTTTTCTCAAAGTAAACATATACGTATGTTACATCATATTAAATTTACTAGAACTCGAGTTTGCAAACCTCACATACATATTAAATTTGCTAAACCTTGAGTTTACAAACCTAAGATATTCAGAACAATCTTGCTGCATGCCTGGACTGAACCACGGAGGGCGAGACTTGTCGTGAAACTGACGAGGAGCCACGTAGATGCGATGGGTGAAGCATAGCAAACTGAAGAGCTGTTGCAGCTGCACCAGAAGTTGCTGGTTGCTACGAGGTACAGCATGAAGGATCCCATGACGGAAGCTGTTTATGATTTACTTTTTAAGAACTAGAGGCTATAAACAATGTCCTTTACAACTATGCACCTACTAAAGTTTTCTCTGGAAAGAATGAAATAAATACCCAGTCTTTATGACCACCATGGAACCCATAATTAACAATAATTATAAAATGCTATTGTTGTTTCATAGGCTATATCTAATATGCCAAAGACCTGTTAACTTTTAAAAATATTACAGCAGCTATAAATTATTAAGTTTAAAGATTTATGAAATTTATGTAAACTGGAAACTTAGTACTGTAGTTAAAAAACTTAAAGCCAGGTTAATTATACACACAAGATATTTCAAGCATGTCTTTAAATATGAAGATATTAATCAAGAACATTTAATAGCAGTTCTCCATAGGGAAGTGAAACAGAATTCGTCCTCCATAAGCCATGCGTGTCATAAGAGGGGACTAAAATGCTGGAAGCAAGGAGCTGGTAACCCCTTCTCCTGTAGTATATATTACTAAATTTGAAAGGAGAAACTTTTGTTTTTACTTTTGGGCCGCCCTGCCTCAATAGGATATGGCCAGTTTGTTGAAAGATTTAATAGTCTAAAAAAAAAAAAATGTTACTTATTAGTCTAGATATTTACATTTAACAATTAATAAACTGATCAATGCTTATACAGTACCACTCATTTTTCTAGCTTGTATGGCCCCCCAACTTACAAACAAGTTATGTTCCAGAAGGCTGTTCGTAACTTGAATTGTTCATAAGTTGTTATTTTGCCATTTTTCTATTTTTACGATTATTATTATTATTGTTTTTAATATTATCATCATTATTGCTATTGTTCTATCTCTGTGCCGTTGTTCGTTGAAAACTTAAAGACAATACTGTAAAGTATCAGTAACGTACCAATACTGTACAGTCTGTTCGTAAGTCTGAATGTCTGTTTGTACGTCCGAATGTTCATAACTCTAATGTTTGTAAGTAGGGTAGCATCTGTACATGTATATATATTTTTTAACTTGACAGCTGTGTCCCGTGAAGGTGACAAAAAAGAAGAAAACACCAGATAAATCTTTTTCTACTATACAAAAGAATCACCTGCCAACATTTAGTGAGAATTCATTACATTTAAGGGGCATGTCAGTTCCCTTTTTTCTAATAATATGTTACTTTTTCCCTATAGCCTCCCAATTGCCTAAATCTTAACACTTCAAAATTTAGATACACAAAGTTCATACATAACTTAATACTACTACATTGTAGTATAAATACCTGCACAAAACTATACTGCCTTACACCATATTGTAACATTCTCATACTGTAAACTACTTTCACCAACGCTCAATATTATATTCCAATAACTTAAATATTTACTATTGATATACACATTAACACCCCTGAAGGAGGGGTGTTAATGTTGCAGTTTAAAAACTGTAGTGTAAAGCACCCTTCTGGCAAGACAGTGATGGAGTGAATGATGGTGAAAGTTTTTCTTTTTCGGGCCACCCTGCCTTGGTGGGAATCGGCCAGTGTGTTAATAAATAATAAAAAATACACAACCTACAAAATACTTTCAAATTGTCACAATGTAATATCCCCAGATTGTAACTCGAGTTAACTTACTGTCTGTTTTAACCCGTAAACGGTCCAAACGTATATATATGTTTTTTCAACATTTGAAAGTATGTAAAAAAAAGTAATCTTTTTTTTTTTTTTTTTTTTTTACATTTGAAAATGTGTAAAAAAACTTTGATCTACTTTTTTTTTTGTTATATTTGAAAATATGTAAAAAAAAGTAGATCTACTTTTGGAGCATTACACATGTGAACGTAGATCTGCCTGGACCGTTTACGGGTTAATTAAAAACAGATGTACAACTTAAACATTGATCAATTTCTCTAGTATTAAGTAGTCTGTAAGCCATTAATTTAGTCTGCCCATAATGCCATGGCATGATAGTGGCTCTCTTTACACTGCAACTCATTATTGTAACTACAGAATCTCAATGTAAACTTGCAAAGAAATAAAAATTGTATTGTACATGTACTGTATTGTACCTCGTACATAATTACTATCGCATTCGCTTTGTCTGTTTCATAAGGTGAAGTCCAGGATCTTTCCTTAATTCATGGTATAACTTAACAAATCTGTGAGTACAATTGTGTTGCAGAGGTCTGAGCTTCCCTCAGACCTCTACAACACAAATGTCCTGCAGTCACACCTCCCTGGGTAACTGATGTTTACCAACTTACTACCTACAGATGTTCCTTGCTTTAGGACAGTTTGACTTATGATATTTTGACATTATGGTGGTGCGATAGCACCATCGTAAAGCACTGTACAGTACTGTGCATTTATTGATAGGATAAGCTTCTATTCATTTATTTACTTTTCAATATTGGTATTTAGTTAAAGTAATTATTTATTTATTTATTCAGTGATAGTAGTTTACATACAGTGGACCCCCGGTATTCGATGGCATCGGTATTCGATAAATCCGGTATTCGATGCATTATATCGCAAAAAATTTTCCTCGGTATTCGATTGAAAACCCGGTATTCGATACGATTCGTACGAGACCTGTCCATGTGTGGCCTGAACTGCCCCATGTGTGCCAGTGTTTACAAGCCAGCCAGTGTGCGCGCATCTAAGGAAACATTCGGTACATTCCATATTATCCATATTATCACTGTGTTTGGTGCTTGTTTCTGCAAAATAAGTCACCATGGGCCCCAAGAAAGCTTCTAGTGCCAACCCTGTGGTAAAAACGGTGAGAATTAGTATGGAAATTAAGAAAGATTTTAAAGGGTTTGGGGCTAACCCTGAGAAGCCTATGTCAGTTGTGGAATCCATTGTGCCTACTTCAAAAATTAAGGAAATGTGTGCACAGTGGGTTGAAGAGTACACCTTTATGGATGAAAATCACCCTAACACAGCTATTGCAAGCCGTGCTGGTGACTATTACAATGACAATGTTGTGGCCCATTTTAGACAAATCGTAAAGGAACGGGAGGTACAGAGCTCTATGGACAGATTTGTTGTGCGACAGAGGTCCAGTGACTCTCAAGCTGGTCCTAGTGGCATTAAAAGAAGAAGGGAAGTAACCCCAGAAAAGGACTTGCTACCTCAAGTCCTAATGGAAGGGGATTCCCCTTCTAAACACTAACACCTCTCCCCTCCTCCCATCCCATCAATCATCACCAGATCTTCATTAAAGGTAAGTGTCAATTATTTTATTGTTATTGTAATTATTCTATTGCATTAAACTTAATATTTCATGTAGTAAAATTTTTTTTTTCATACTTTTGGGTGTCTTGCACAGATTAATTTGATTTCCATTATTTCTTATGAGGAAAATTGATTCGGTTTTCGATATTATCGGTATTCGATGAGCTCTCAGGAACGGATTAATATCGAATACCGGGGGTCCACTGTATTTGCTTATTTACTGACCATACGTTCAAATTCCATAGGTAGTAGGTTGGTAGACAGCAACCGCCCATGGAGGTACTACCGTCCTGCCAAGTGAATGTAAAACAAAGCCTGTAAATGTTTTACATGATGGTAGGATTGCTGGTATCTTTTGTCAGTAGGTAAAATGAAAGGGGGTAAGGCAGCCGGGATTGATGGGATAAAGATAGAAATGTTAAAAGCAGGTGGGGATATAGTTTTGGAGGGGTTGGGTTTGCAATTATTTAATAAATGTATGGAAGGGGGTAAGGTCCTAGGGATTGGCAGAGAGCATCCCATATTTCCCTTTTGTATAAAGGCAAAGGGGATAAAAGAGAGTGCAAAAATTATAGGGGGATAAGTCTGTTGATGTACCGGGTAAAGTGTAGGGTAGAGTTATAATTGAAAGAATTAAGAGTAAGACGGAGAATAGGATAGCAGATGAAAAAGGGAGGCTTTAGGAAAGGTAGGGGTGTGTGGACCAGGTGTTTTACAGTGAAACATATAAGTGAACAGTATTTAGATAAGGCTAAAGAGGTCTTTGTGGCATTTATGGTTTTGGGAAAAAGGCGTATGACAGGTGGATAGGGGGCAATGGGGCAGATGTTGCAATGTATGGTGTAGGGGGTAAGGTTACTGAAACATTGAAGAGTTTTTACGAGGATAGTGAGGCTCAAGTTAGAGTATGTAGGAAAGAGGGAAATTTTTTCCCAGTAAAAGTGGGCCCTTTAAAGACAAGGATTTTGTGATGTCACCGTGGTTGTTTAATATTTATAGATGGGGTTGTAAGAGAAGTAAATGCAGGGTTTTGCAAGAGCGTGGAGTTAAAAGATAAAGAATCACACACAAAGTGGGAGTTGTCACAGCTGCTCTTTGCTGATGACACTGTGCTCTTGGGAGATTCGTAAGAGAATTGCAAGAGATTGGTGGATGAATTTGGTAGGTGGCAAAAGAAGAAATTAAAGGTGATACAAGGAAAGAGTAAGGTTATGAGGATAACAAAGAGAATTAGTATGAAAGTTGAAAATCAGATTGGAGGAAGAGTATTGAGGAGGTGAACGATTCAGATATTTGAGTGGACTGTCAACGGATTGTGCCTATGAAAGATGAGGAATCTTAGAATGATGATGAAAAGAGTGAGTGGTGCACCTTAGGATCTGGAAACAAAGAACTATTGTCCTTGAGGCAAAGAGGATATTAAATGAGAATAGTTTTACCCACGCTCTTAAATCGTGGAACGGGTGATGAATGTGCATCATGAGAAGCTGAGCAGTGAATGTCATTCTGAGGGCAATGTGTGCGTGAATATAATGCAGAGAATCGTAGTGGAAGTTAGGAGGAGGCGGGATTAACCAAAACGGTTGTACCAGAGGGCTGAGAAGGTTGTGAGGTGTTCGGACATGTAAGAAATGGAAGCGAAACAGAATGACTCCTCAAAGTGATACAGTCTGTATAGAAGGAAGGGGGGTAAGGTGGTCGGCAACTAGAAGGGTTGGAGGAGGGGGTAAAGAGTTTTTTTGTGCAGGGCTTGACTTCAGCAGCATGATGATCCTGTTTGATAGGAGGAAATGTAGACAAATGGTTTTTATACTTGACGGCTTTGGAGTGTGACAAAGTAACATGTATAAGATCAGAAACCCAGGGGCTTGATCCTGGAATGGTAAGTACTGCCTGCACTCATGAAGGAGGGGTTTAAGTTGCAGTTTAAAAACTGAGTGTAAAGCACCCTTCTGCAAACAGTGAGATGAAATGGTGAAAGTTCCTTTTTTTTCGGCACCCTGCCTTGGTGGGAATCGGCCGGTGTGATAATAAAAAAAAAAAAAAATAAACATGCAAGATTTCAGGTACGTCTTGCTACTTCTATTTACACTTAGGTCACACTACACATACATGTACAAGCATATGTATACACACCCCTCTGGGTTTTCTTCTATTTTCTTTCTAGTTCTTGTTCTTGTTTATTTCCTCTTATCTCCATGGGGAAGTGGAATAGAATTCTTCCTCCGTAAGCCATGCATGTCGTAAGAGGCGACTAAAATGCCAGGAGCAAGGGGCTAGTAACCCCTTCTCTTGTATATACATATTACTAAATTTAAAAAGAGAAATTTTCGTTTTTTTTTTTTTTGGGGGCCACCCTGCCTCGGTGGGATATGGCCGGTTTGTTGAAAGATGTTCATATTCAACTTACGATATTTTCAACTTACAACAGGTTCATCGAAATGTAACCCCACTGTAAGTCGAGGAGCACCCATATGCAGCCTCTCCTTACTTGACGACAGAGTTCTGTTCCTAGCACCACGTCAGTAAACGAATTCATCGCTAAGTGAGGAGAATACTATAATGGTAGTGGGTTTGTCTCAACCATCTTTAATATTGTTTTAATGTCACTTTTGCACCATTTATAACATTTCTGGTATATTTGTAAATGTTTATACTGTAGTGTACTGTACATTGAATAAAAAGAATAGAGGAAATCAGCTCTAATATGTATTATTTAGGTATGCATGCATGGTGGTCAAAGTCTGAGTCGTCAGTAAACGAGTACATCACTAAGTGAGGAGTGCTATATTCATACTTCTTCATACCTTTTCCTACTGTAATGTGTTTACAAGGTATCAATTTACAACATAAAATGAATAATAAATATCCTCACCTGTCTGTCATAAACAGAGCTTGTATGACAGAGTTCATGTAACACGTATTTCCAAGGTTACGAAGACCTACTCTCTGGCTGGTGGGTCTCTGCTGGTACACAACACGAGTCTCGGCAGCCATGCTCACTCCATACTGGTTTGCAACCATTCCTCGAGGTCCTCCTCCTGCTGAAGCCCACTGATGCTCCTGGATCAAGCCCTGTATGTCTTCTTCGGACGGAGATTGGTATTTCTGAAAGTTGGAACCAATATTAAATGATCTGTAGAATAATCTTTAATTCTACATTTCACTCAGTGATAGTGCGAATGATGGCGAAAGTGTTTCTTTTTTGGGTCACCCTGTCTCAGTGGGAGACGGCCAGCTGGAGACAGCCAGTGTGGGAGACGGCCAGCATGGAGACAGCCAGTGTGGGAGACGGCCAGCATGGGAGACAGCCAGTGTGGGAGACGGCCAGCGTGTTAAAAAAAATTCACTCTATGAATCAAATAAAGAAAATAAACAACTGCTGCTGCATTCAATTTAAAAAAAGTGAAGAAAATAAAATTTAAAAAGAATTCCTTAAGCGTTAACTTCTCCAAAGATGCAAAACTAGCAAAATGAATATAATTTTCTGGAACATAAAAATTAGCAGTTTGGAGGGATATGTTGTGTATCTTTATACATATATGCTTCTAAACTGTTGTGTCCCGAGCACCTCTGCAAAAACAGTGATTATGTGTGAGTGAGGTGAAAGTGTTGAATGATGACTAAAGTATTTTCTTTTTGGGGATTTTCTTTCTTTTTGGGACACCCTGCCTCGGTGGGAGACGGCTGACTTGTTAAAAAAAAAAAAATTGTAATCAAAATAAATATAATATCAGGTAAAAGAAATTATTAAACTGTGCTCCATGCTAATAAAATATTTGTCATCACAAACCCAAACTAGGATGTGTTAAATAGCTTTGTTAACAATGATCCGGGAAAAAATCTTGGCTTGCAACCCAAAGGAGGAACACACATTCATCATCCCACATTTCCTAGCTGCCTTTGTAGGCTGGAAAATCATTAATTACAACATCTGAAAAATGTTGAATGAAGTATGAAACAAGCTGAATGAAATGAAGTTGAATTTAATGGGACAAATTTGCTAAAAATATCCTGGAGTCCAAGAACTGAAGAAGAAAATAAACACTTTTTTTTTTTAACATGCTGGCCATCTCCCACTGAGGCAGGATGACCCAACAAAAGAAACATAGTCACCATCATTCACACTATTACTGTCTTGACAGGAGTGCAGATTTTATTTTATTTTATTAACACATTGGCCATTTCCCACCAAGGCAGGGTGGCCTGAAAAAGAAAAATTTTCATCATCATTCACTCCATCACTGTCTTGCCAGAGGCATGCTTACACTACAGTTATAAAACTGCAACATTAACACCCTCCTTCAGAGTGCAGACACTGTACTTCCCATCTCCAGGATTTAAGTCCAGCCTGCCGGTTTCCGTGAGTCCCTTCATAAATGGTACCGTGCTCACACTCCAACAGCACATCAAGTTTTAAAAACCATTTGTCTCCATTCACTCCTATCAAATACATCACACATGCTTGCTGGAAGCCCAAGCCCCTCACACACAAAACCTCCTTTACAACCTCCCTCCAACTTTTCCTAGGCTGACCCCTACCCCGCCTTCCCTCCACTACAGATTTATACACTCTTGAAGTCATTCTATTTTGTTCCATCCTCTCTACATGTCTGAACCACCTCAATAACCCTTGCTTAGCCCTCTGGACAATAGTTTTGGTAATCCCGCACCTCCTCCTAATTTCCAAACTACGAATTCTCTGCATTATATTCACACCACACATTGCCCTCAGACATGACATCTCCACTTCCTCCAGCCTTCTCCTTGTTGCAACATTTACCACCCATGCTTCACACCCATATAAGAGTGTTGGTATAACTATTATCTCATACATTCCCCTCTTTGCTTCCATGGGCAAAGTTCTTTGTCTCCACAGACACCTAAGTGCACCACTCACCCTTTTTCCCTCATCAATTCTATGATTCACCTCATCCTTCACAGATCCATCTCCTGACATGTCCACTCCCAAATATCTAAATACATTCACCTCCTCCATACTCTCTCCCTCCAATCTGATATCCCAAATATCCAAAACCCTCCTTTAGGGGCAGTCACTGTACTTCCCACCTCCAGGACTCGAATCTGGCTAACCGTTCCTTGAATCCCTTCACAAAATACTACCTTGCTCATGCTCCAACAGCTTGTCAGGTCCTAAAAACCATTTGTCTCCACTCATTCCTATCTAACACATTTGTTATATACATAGAAGGGACAATGCAGGAGACATAATTCAAAGCAGAGGTGAAGAGTATGGAGATGATGCAGAGTTGCATAAGGACACAATGGTGTGAAACCAAAAATATATAAACAAGCCATAATGCTAGACATTACTTATTAATTAACTCACCATTAGAATATCCATGAGCAGCTGATATGTGTCTGGGTGGCCAGGATGCAGAGACATGAGGGTGTGGCACAGTGTTGCCAAGCGACTCAATGTTGTTGATGCAGACTGTGATCCCTCTCGCTCAAGCCGGCTAAACACATCGGTTACTGATGGAATGATCTGAGGAGCAGAAGTCACTCTGAATTTAACCCGTAAACAGTCCAAACGTATATATACGTTTTTTCAACACTTGAAAGTATGTAAAAAAAGTAGATCTTCTTTTTGTTTTTTTTTACATTTGAAAATGTGTAAAAAAAACTTTGATCTAATTTTTTTTTGTTATATTTGAAAATATGTAAAAAAAACATAGATCTACTTTTGTAGCACTAAACATGTGAACCTAGATCTGCCTGGACCGTTTACAGGTTAATCAGCATACCTATAATACAAGGAAACACTAGTTTCACTAAGTAACTAAATGGCGCATTGTGTCTATGTCAAGTGACGTAAATTCATCATGGGCTCTGCTGATCACGAAAACTGTGAAAGTGGTTTAGAAAACCATCAAGCTAAAGAATGAGACACTAGTGCAACTTTTGGGAATCTTTACTGAGGAAACATTTCACCAGCCAGCGGCTTCTTCAGTCCAAAACAAGAGAAAAACAGGGAAGATGATGAGGAGAATGAGGTAATCAGTCCTTACCTTATTCTCCGCCTCATCTTCCACTGTTCATCTCTGTATTGGACTGAAGAAGCCACTGGTTGACAAAACATTTCCTCATTAAAGATTCCTCAATGTTACACAAGTGTCTCATTCTTCATTGTGAAAATTATTTTATGCTTTTGCCTCAGAAGCTTAATTCACATACAGTATGGTAGACAACTGATGATTTTAAATATGCTAATTTTTTCGAGAGAGAGATAATGTCAATGATTTGTTAATCACAAACCAGCATATAGTGTCTAGGATAGATGAAATCTGCTAATTAAAATTTATTTTAATTATAACTTACATAAACTTGACAAATTTTCCATGTTCTTGTATTCAAGTTCAGTTTATGCCAAATGTATATAAACTAAGGATGGTGCAATACCAAATTTTTTGCTGATACCAATACTGATACTGATATTCATTTTCAGGGCGATACCGATACCATCAAGATTAGCAGATATCTGATACCAATATTATCAAAATTAGCATATGCCCACCAATTCCAATATTAGGCCGATATATCATCAAAATTAGCTGATACCCACCGATACCTTGGTACACCCCTAATAGTAATCTTACCTTATGAAAAGCTATTGGAGAGTGTTGAAATGACAAGAGAAGTGTGGATATCACAGACACAATTCCAGTGCGAACCACAGGGATGTGCAGAGCATTCATCAGCTGTAATAGAATATCTTTCAGTTCAATAAATTCATACTGATCAGACTGGCCTTGACACTTCAGAGGAAAGTAGGGACCAAGGATAACGTAATGACATGCTTTTCTGGACACACTTGCATAATGGTTATACATGGGCATAAATGGCAGGTCTATACAAATCACAGCTAAACCACACAATGTTAATTGGAACTAGACAATATTTTAGTCCATCCTAGAATAAAATGTTATCTAATTTCCATTTCCACTGTATAATTTAGTAGTGAATTGTTCCAGCCACATTATTATGATTTTTAATCTAATCTGCTAGTGTCACTCACAATCTTACTGTCTCAGCCGTTACCGTCTTGCTCAAATGTACCTCATCACAGAGATATATTAAAAAAGAGAAAGATATAAGGAAAAAAGATACCAGAGAAAGGGAAAACAATATTTAGCTGAAAGGTAATGCGTAGGTGGGGAAACTGTAGCACACAACAGCACTGTGGTGTAGGTGTAACCAGTCCTCTTCATGAACGTGAAGGTAATCTATCATTGTAAAAGATGCTATTTACATACCATCTACTAGTACAATTATAATTTTATTAATAAGGAATTGCTAAACACAAAGGAGTCACACAGTCCCTGAGGAATGCTAGGTAATTAATTCTGACTCAAGGAAAGAGAAGTCAGCTCTAATTTCTTGGATCAACAGCCTTTTACTGGCATCAAGTCACCCACCTTGAAGGAAAGTATAGCCAATGAAAGGAACTATTAAGGGTCAAAGACCTTATCCCTTATCCTTGCCACCCAGAATTACTCTGTAGAGAACCAAGACCAACCAGTCTATACTACCTGTATGAAAGATGTGAAAGAAATTCAAATTCTTTATTAGTATTAACTTTTTGTCATGCTTTATATTTTTTGAAAAGAGGCTTCAGTTTTAACATTATTTTTCACATATTCTTAAAATTCTACTTTGTTGATCCACAACCTTAACAACAGAGTATTAATGGGATATGAATATCTTTTGAGTACACGCCTTACCTTTGGTACTCCATCCAAGGTAACACGTGCTGGCACAGTAGAACGTCCACTCTGATACAACAACTTAACCAGGGTATGTACCCACAAGCCCAATGTTGCATGAGCTGTTGGCCAAGTCACCAACCATGCAGTGAGACGTGTTAAAGTTGCAGTTAGAGCAGCATCAGTAGTTGTGGGATCGGACACAATCCGAGGAGCAAGAGCCTCCACCACAACAGTAGGAACCAGGGAGAGTAGGTGTGCCATGGCAGGACATACCTCTGATCCTCCATCTATTGATCAAATAAAAAAATTAGGAGGCCCAGACATAGTAAATTTATATTCCTATTTACTTAAATGTCATGGGTCTTTTCTAATGTTTAAGACATGGGGTAATCTTGAGATCTTAATAAAATATTCAAGGTATTTCCACATAATTTGGGTAACCATTTTAATCTATGGTACCTGACTTCTAATTCGTGATTAGCATTTGGAAATATTTAACAAATACAGTGGACCCCCGCATAACGATATTATTTCAATCCAAAAGTCTGTTTGGGTGCCGTTATAGACCGAATTTGTTCCCATAAGAAATATTGTGAATTAGATTAGTCCATTTCAGACCCCTAAAATTACACCTACAAAAGCACTTACAAAAATAAACTTACATAATTGGTCGAGTTGGGAGCTGATCGTTATCTGGGGGTCCACTGTATATTAATCACTTTTATAGGTAGTAGGTTTGTAAACAGCAACTGCCCATGGAGGTACTACCGTCCTGCCAAGTGAGTGTAAAACAAAAGCCTGCAATTGTTTCACATGATGGTAGGATTGCTGGTGTCCATTTTGTTGTCTCATAAACATGCAAGGTTTCAGGTACGTCTTGCTACTTCTACTTACACTTAGGTCACACTACACTTACATGTACAAGCATATATATACACACCCCTCTGAGTTTTCTTCTATTTTCTTACTAGTTCTTGTTCTTGTTCATTTCCTCTTACCTCCATGGGGAAGTGGAACAGAATTCTTCCTCCGTAAGCCATGCGTGTTGTAAGAGGCAACTAAAATGCCAGGAGCAAGGGGCTAGTAACCCCTTCTCCTGCATATATTACTAAATGTAAAAGGAGAAACTTTCGTTTTTCCTTTTGGCCCACCCTGCCTTGGTGGGATACGGCCGGTGTGTTGGAAAGAAAGATTAATCGCTTTTACTATATGATGATGGGAATAAATATTCCACAAAAATATATATTAGAGTTACAATAGTAGGTTAATAGTGTATATGTCTAACAATGAGAAGCCAACAGTTATGTACAGTGTTTCAAGCAAACTAAAGTCAGGACTAGTATGAATAACAGAAAAAAATAATGACTGTGTACATACAGTATAATATACACTTAATATATAAAATTACACTTAATATTAAAATACAAATATTAGTGAGAAAAGAGCATTAAGTGAAACACTTTACATTAAAATTGAATATTAAATTAAAATTTAATTTTGAAGGACCATATTTAAAAGCAAATAAGGAAGTAATGATGTAATGGGTTAAAATATTAATGAATTTTAAAAAATTAAGTAAAAGTTTAATGACAATTTAAAAGAGTTACATTTAAAAAAAGTTTCAGGGAAATAAATGAAGCACAAAAAATGATTTAAGTTTTGTTTGAATTCCTTAAGTTACAATTTCTGAATTAACCTGGCAAGTTATTCAATATTTCTGGCCATTTTATTTTCAGACTACCTACCAGTGTTGGAAATAATAGCATACATGGCATTCAGGGAGTACAAAATGTCCTCGAGTCGCAGGCCATTCCATAACGTGTTGACAAGGCCTCCCACACTCTTCATGTGGCCTAAAACCTGATGTGCATGAAGAGGTAGAATAGTTCATTATCACCACATACTGCACTACTATGGTTATATTACCTACACATTTTCCTAACTCACTACTCATACGAATTCCCAATGGACTGTAAGTTATGTTTATGATTACCTAAGAGTACTCTTTTTTTTTTTTTTTTTTAGACTACCAAACATCTACACTCTTTCTAATTATTGTACAATATTACAGTATTATTTTGTGCACTGACATTCCTTCTTGCAATAACTGCGTACAAGTTTACATCGTTGCCGTGCCTCGGTGCGAAACGGCAGGCAAGTTAAAAAAAATGTTTCCATGTAGAAATATCTTATAATTTTAGAATCAAATTTCAAGTACCTCTGTTTTTGTTGGTGTTGGAAATGAAGCAACGCAGTTCATAAGTGTAACAGTGAAGGTGAGACGAGTGTGTGGCTGAGGTAAGAGTGTGGGACACACTGCATACAGATCAGCAAGCTTGGCCACGAAGGCAGAACTGCCTCCACACTCCCGCAACTTGTTCTGCAAAACTCCTTCCAGGACCTAGAGAAAAATTAGTTTCTGTAATACTGTATACAGAACCATTATATAATGGAAAATTTAATACTACACATTATGAATGCATCATATTATGATTCAAACCTCAAAAACTAATACGGTACTGAGTATTAAGAAAGATGAAAAATTATTAAAATGCATGATATCTTTATAATGTAAAATCTACATCAAAATGTTTATAAAACAAGAAAATTTCTATTATAATACTGTATACAGCAGTTCCCCCCATATCTGCAGGAATATGTCCCAAGATCTACCAAATCATAGGATATGGGGGTTCTAATGTATAACAGTACATACAGGTTTTCTAGAAATCCCATATTAATCTGCTCTTCTAAAATGAAACATTACAAATACCATTTTCTCTGCAACATAACATCAGTTATTGCACTCACTTGAGCCAAGGTGCACATAATATCTGCATCTTCATTCAAATGGCAGAGAGCTTCCTTCAGCCATACAAGGAGCAAAGTGGCATTACTTTGACTTGCAAGGATGCTTGTCACACGTTCTGGTGTGACATAATCTCTCAGGTGGGATTTGTAATGCCCAGCCCAGCTGCTGAAGGCAAACACAGCAAGCTGGGCAGCACCTTCATTTTCATACAAGGTTAAAATCTCCACACATGTGTCAAAAATGGATATTACATCTGCTTTCTCTAGGGTTCTATTGGTCTTTAAATTAGGGGTATGAACCAATTTTGCCAGTAGTGCTCTTTTGATATTATCTGGCTGGTTTGGCATGTGTATAATGCTGTAGACTATCTTGTCCATGGTGACTGAAACGGTAAACCATTGTAAAATTAATTACATACACAGTTACTGTAAATTTAAAGCTACAACAACTTTGGTACTTTTCTGCATTTTTATTTGCAATTTGTGAACTAGTGAAAATATTATTTCACACAATTCTAGATAGTAACATTAAGATTTGAAATATAAGCTATTTAGGGCAAAATAGTGTCATTAAAGTGAAAAACACAATTCTTTAAGAATAATAAAAGCAACTTCCACAGCTTTAAATAAAACTTAGAATCACATGAATATTGTACCAATGCATTACAATCTAAGTCTGGCACTGTCTTCTTCATAAATATTAAAAGTAAATTACAGTAGTATTAAGTAAGCAAGGAAGTTTGTTTAGGTACAAGTACAATTATCAAATACAGTGGAACCTCAAATATCGAACTTTCTTCAGTCCAGAAGGCTGTTCGAGTGCCTTTACCGAATTAATTTATTCCCATCAGGAATAATGTAAATTAGATTAGTCCATTTCAGACCCTCAAAAATACACTTATAAAAGCACTTACAAAAATACACTTACATAATTGGTTGTGTTGGGAGCAGTTCGATTTTTGAGGTTCCACTGTATAGTCTAACATACATGTAAATTACCTAGCATAACCCCTCCCCCTCCATGAAAAAGGAACTTATTTCCACTGAGGTTTTTGTAATATATTAATATTTAACCCGTAAACGGTCCAAACGTATATATACGTTTTTTCAACATTTGAAAGTATGTAAAAAAAGCAGATCTTCTTTTTGTTTTTTTACATTTGAAAATGTGTAAAAAACTTTAATCTACTTTTTTTTTTGTTATACAGTGGACCCCCGGTTAACGATATTTTTTCACTCCAGAAGTATGTTCAGGTGCCAGTACTGACCGAATTTGTTCCCATAAGGAATATTGTGAAGTAGATTAGTCCATTTCATACCCCCAAACATACACGTACAAACGCACTTACATAAATACACTTACATAATTGGTCGCATTCGGAGGTGATCGTTATGCGGGGGTCCACTGTATTTGAAAATACGTAAAAAAAACGTAATCTACTTTTGTAGCACTACACATGTGAATGTAGATCTACTTGGACCGTTTACGGGTTAAAGCCTAGCTGTAATGTAGTAATTATTGATGTCATATAGTACTAGTGGTGGTGGCAGTGGTGGCAGTGGTCAACACAGTTTTTTCAAAATTCATCCAAAAAGGATTCAGATCAATTTAATATGCTGTAAAAAAGCATTCTAATGATAAAACTTCCCCCTTAAATTATATTTGCTCTCACTGAGATTTGAGGAGCAAAAACAGAATACTTTTTCACCTTATACCTTCAATGAGTTTCAAGAGTTCTCTTACTCCCACAGTCCAGCCTGGGCCAGGCTAGTCTGGTGCTTGACTGGTCAACCAGGCTGTTGCTGCTGGTGGCCTGCTAGCCCACATATTCATCACAGCCTGGTTGATCTTAGTGAGTTTTCTCTTAAAGACTTTACATTTGTCTTAGCAGCATTTATGATATCTCTTAGTTTGATGTTAAAAAATCTGGGACCACAAATGTTGATACAATGTTCTCTTATTGTTGCCCATGGTGCCTCTGCTTTTCACTGGGTTTATGCTACACATTCTCACCAGGAAAGGAGGGAAGGAAGTGTCAACATAACACACTCACCATGCAGGGAGATTATATATTACTGGTGGACAAAACCTACAAGAAAATGAATAGCTAACATACATGTCCCTAGTACTGTGATGGATACTCTCTTTAACATTAATGTAAATAACTCAGTTTACCTTATTCCTAGTATACCCCCTTCCATTGTAATTGCTTTTCACATAATTGAGTTACTTAGCTGTTTTAAATTTAAAGGTTTAAATAAGATATTACAAGTACCCCAATGGAAAAAAGTCACTATGACCTTTTCTTGGGGTTATCCTACGTAATCTACACATATGCTGCTATGTATGATAATTTATGTAACCATTTTTGTGTGTACCTGTACCTGCATAAACTTACTTTACTGTGGCGACATTTTGCCACCAGGGAGGAAGGTGTCAATATAACACACACCAGGGAGGAAGGTGTCAATATAACACACACCAGGGAGGAAGGTGTCAATATAACACACACCAGGGAGGAAGGTGTCAATATAACACTCACCAGGGAGGAAGGTGTCAATATAACACTCACCAGGGAGGAAGGTGTCAATATAACACTCACCAGGGAGGAAGGTGTCAATATAACACTCACCAGGGAGGAAGGTGTCAATATAACACTCACCAGGGAGGAAGGTGTCAATATAACACACCAGGGAAGAAGGTGTCAATATAACACACTCACCAGGGAGGAAGGTGTCAATATAACACACTCACCAGGGAGGAAGGTGTCAATATAACACACCAGGGAAGAAGGTGTCAATATAACACACTCACCAGCGAGGAAGGTGTCAATATAACACACTCACCAGGGAGGAAAGTGTCAATATAACACACTCACCAGGGAGGAAGGTGTCAATATAACACATGAGGGAGGAAGGTGTCAATATAACACTCACCAGGGAGGAAGGTGTCAATATAACACACGAGGAAGGTGTCAATATAACACTCACCAGGGAGGAATGTGTCAATATAACACACTCACCAGGGTGGGAGGTGTCAATATAACACTCAACAGGGAGGAAGGTGTTAATATAACACTCTCACCAGGGAGTCAATATAACTCACCAGGGAGGAAGGTGTCAATATAACACTCACCAGGGAGGATGGTGTCAATATAACACACTCACCAGGAAGGTGTCAATATAACACTCACCAGGGAGGAAGGTGTCAATATAACACACCAGGGAGGAAGGTGTCAATATAACACACTCACCAGGGAGGAAGGTGTCAATATAACACACTCACCAGGGAGGAAGGTGTCAATATAACACACTCACCAGGGAGGAAGGTGTCAATATAACACACCAGGGAGGAAGGTTTCAATATAACACACTCACCAGGGAGGAAGGTGTCAATATAACACTCACCAGGGAGGAAGGTGTCAACACACTCACCAGGGAGGGTGTCAATATAACACACTCACCAGGAAGGAAGGTGTCAATATAACACACCAGGGAGGAAGGTCTCAATATAACACTCACCAGGGAGGAAGGTGTCAATATAACACACTCACCAGGGAGGAACGTGCCAATATAACACACGATGGAGAAACGTGCCAATATAACACACTCACCATGGAGGAAGGTGTCAATATAACACACCAGTGAGGAAGGTGTCAATATAACACACCAGTGAGGAAGGTGTCAATATAACACACTCACCAGGGAGGAAGGTGTCAATATAACACACTCACCAGGGAGGAAGGTGTCAACACACTCACCAGGGAGGGTGTCAATATAACACACTCACCAGGAAGGAAGGTGTCAATATAACACACCAGGGAGGAAGGTCTCAATATAACACTCACCTGGGAGGAAGGTGTCAATATAACACACTCACCAGGGAGGAAGTTGTCAATATAACACACAAGGAGGAAGGTGTCAATGTAACACTCACCAGGGAGGTGTCACAATAACACACTCACCAGAGAGGAAGGTGTCAATATAACACACTCACCAGGGAGGAAGTTGTCAATATAACACACAAGGAGGAAGGTGTCAATGTAACACTCACCAGGGAGGTGTCAAAATAACACACTCACCAGAGAGGAAGGTGTCAATATAACACTCTCACCAGGGATGGTGTCAATATAGCACTCTCACCAGGGAGGAGTCAATATAACACACTCACCAAGGAGGGAGGTGACAATATAACACACCAAGAAGGAAGGTGTCAATACAATACACTCACCAGGGAGGAAGGTGTCAATATAACACTCATGAGGGAGGAAGGAGTCAATATAACACTCTCACCAGGGAGGGAGGTGTCAATATAACACTCACCAGGGAGGGAGGTGTCAATATAACACTCAACAGGGAGGAAGGTGTTAATATAACACTCTCACCAGGGAGTCAATATAACTCACCAGGGAGGAAGGTGTCAATATAACACTCACCAGGGAGGAAGGAGTCAATATAACACTCACCAGAGAGGAAAGAGTCAATATAACACTCACCAGGGAGGAAGGAGTCAATATAACACTCACCAGGGAGGAAGGAGTCAATATAACACTCACCAGGGAGGAAGGAGTCAATATAACACTCACCACGGAGGAAGATGTCAATATAACACTCACCAGGGAGGAAGGAGTCAATATAACACTCACCAGGGAGGGTGTCAATATAACACACTCACCAGGGAGGAAGGAGTCAATATAACACTCACCAGGGAGGAAGGTGTCAATATAACACACTCACCAGGGAGGAAGGAGTCAATATAACATACTCACCAGGGAGGAAGGAGTCAATATAACACACTCACCAGGGAGGAAGGAGTCAATATAACACACTCACCAGGGAGGAAGGAGTCAATATAACACACTCACCAGGGAGGAAGGAGTCAATATAACACACTCACCAGGAAGGAAGGAGTCAATATAACACACCAGGGAGGAAGGAGTCAATATAACACACTCACCAGGGAGGAAGGTGTCAATATAACACTCACCAGGGAGGAAGGAGTCAATATAACACACCAGGGAGGAAGGAGTCAATATAACACACTCACCAGGGAGGAAGGTGTCAATATAACACACTCACCAGGGAGGAAGGAGTCAATATAACACACTCACCAGGGAGGAAGGAGTCAATATAACACACTCACCAGGGAGGAAGGAGTCAATATAACACACTCACCAGGGAGGAAGGAGTCAATATAACACACTCACCAGGGAGGAAGGAGTCAATATAACACACCAGGGAGGAAGGTGTCAATATAACACACTCACCAGGGAGGAAGGTGTCAATATAACACACTCACCAGGGAGGAAGGTGTCAATATAACACACTCACCAGGGAGGAAGGTGTCAATATAACACACTCACCAGGGAGGAAGGTGTCAATATAACACTCACCAGGGAGGAAGGTGTCAATATAACACACTCACCAGGGAGGAAGAAGTCAATATAACACTCACCAGGGAGGAAGGAGTCAATATAACACTCACCAGGGAGGAAGGTGTCAATATAACACACTCACCAGGGAGGAAGGAGTAAATATAACACACTCACCAGGGAGGAAGGAGTCAATATAACACACTCACCAGGGAGGAAGGAGTCAATATAACACACTCACCAGGGAGGAGGGAGTCAATATAACACACTCACCAGGGAGGAGGGAGTCAATATAACACACTCAACAGGGAGGAAGGAGTCAATATAACATACTCAACAGGGAGGAAAGTGTCAATATAACACTCAACAGGGAGGAAGGAGTCAATATAACACACTCAACAATGAGGAAGGAGTCAATATAACACACTCAACAATGAGGAAGGAGTCAATATAACACACTCAACAGGGAGGAAGGAGTCAATATAACACACTCAACAGGGAGGAAGGAGTCAATATAACACACTCAACAGGGAGGAAGGAGTTAATATAACACACTCAACAGGGAGGAAGGAGTTAATATAACACACTCAACAGGGAGGAAGGAGTTAATATAACACTCACCAGGGAGGATGGAGTCAATATAACACTCACCAGGGAGGAAGGAGTCAATATAACACTCACCAGGGAGGAAGGAGTCAATATAACACTCACCAGGGAGGAAGGATGTCAATATAACACTCACCAGGGAGGAAGGTGTCAATATAACACTCACCAGGGAGGAAGATGTCAATATAACACTCAACAGGGAGGTAGGAGTCAATATAACACTCACCAGGGAGGAAGGAGTCAATATAACACACTCACCAGGGAGGAAGAAGTTAATATAACACTCACCAGGGAGGAAGGAGTCAATATAACACTCACCAGGGAGGAAGGAGTCAATATAACACTCAACAGGGAGGAAGGAGTCAATATAACACACTCAACAGGGAGGAAGGAGTTAATATAACACACTCAACAGGGAGGAAGGAGTCAATATAACACACTCAACAGGGAGGAAGGAGTTACTATAACACACTCACACAGGGAGGAAAGGAGTCAATATAACACACTCAATAGGGAGGAAGGAGTCAATATAACACACTCAACAGGGAGGAAGGAGTTAATATAACACACTCAACAGGGAGGAAGGAGTTAATATAAACACTCACCAGGGAGGATGGAGTCAATATAACACACTCACCAGGGAGGATGGAGTCAATATAACACTGAGGTTGTATGTCACTTCAGAAGAGAAACATTCCCCACCAGACAGTTACATTAAGATATAACTCAGCCACAGGTGGTGTTCTGACGACCTCGCTGCACCATAAACCCCCACCACCTGCTAACCATCTGCAAATAAGGAACACTTAAACATGAACAAAAAACAAATCCTTACATATTCCTCCCCACCCAAAAGAACATTATCTGACGAAAAACAATCGCATTTACACGAAAATACCGAGGAAATAATTTGTTTTAGACTATACCTCACTCATCTGGAAATTGTCCAAAGACAAACTACGACTGGCAATCTTCTCTTCTCACATCCTTTATTTCTCTCTGATGACGGTCACGCCACTCTTCCTCGGGCATAATGTCGCGGCTGCTCCGCTACGCTGCTCGATGTCATTTAATTCACCAGCAGCAGCCTAAATACACTCATTTTCACCATTTTTTTCAGGGTAAAGTTCACCGCTGTCCCCCGATTAATATCGCAAATTGTAAACAAAGATCAGGAGGTTCAGATCGTCTTGGAGTCACTTTGTGGCTTCTGATTCTTTATTTTGTCGCTTTAACTTTGAGTTTTTCGATTAGTTTTTGACTTTGTTATAAGCGATTGAATCCTGAATGATCTTCCTGGTCAGCTGCATCAGCAGCGCCTCATTAATATGTATTTTTTGTTCCCCTCTGCCTTGCTTATTGTATTTACACAAGCAGAGTCTTGAGGATGATTAAAATGCTAATTTCCACCTCCCAAATGTCAATTCAGATAAAATATATGAACAGTGCAGCAATAAGTTGTCTTGTTTAGAGTTCTGAGTTTTATTTACAAAAAAGAATTTTGAGTACTTAAAATATTAGTCCACTTAATAAGTTTATTTAGGTACAGGTACATTATCATATATAATAGCATGTATGTAGATTACCTAAAATAACTCCAAAAAGTCAGGCAAAATGACTTAGTGAGAGTGGGGTCTTTGATCCATAGTAAGAACTATCTTGGTGCTCCTAACAACCATCTAAAACAACCCCGACACCAGACATTCCACCACAAAATATTTATGACCCTTGATTGTCTTCAAGAAGGCACTGGACAGGCACCTAAGTTAGTACCTGACCAGCCGGGCTGTGGTTCTTACGTTAACGTGCAGCCAGCAGTAACAGTCTGATTGATCATGCCCTGATCCACCAATGGACGGGGCTGCGGGGGCGTTGACCCTCAGAATCCCCTCCAGGTATTCCCCTCAACAGAGAGGACGCGGGTTCGAGACCTGCTCCGCCTCCTCCCCTTCCACAATGAAAATGTCACTGTATCTGACTTTTTTAGGTTATACTGGTGTGTGACAATTATACCTTGCTAATAAAACTTATACTATTGTTATAACACTAGCTAAACAGAACTACTTACCAGGATGACTAGTGTGATAATGTCAGAACTATTTGAGAGACTGTAATATATATACAGAAGAGTCTAACTATAGTACTAAGATAATCAGGGTGGAGTCAAACTGTCAGGAATACATTTTGCATGGGGGGACTGTAAGATTCAACTTAATTCGAAAAGCACAGTGCAAATCATAAATAATTATTATTATTATAATCAAGGGGGAAGTGCTAAACCCGGAGGATTATACAGCGCCTGGGGGGGGATGTGGAAGGCATTCAGGCTTAATTCGGGGAACTGGAGCACAGATCCAATTCACTAAATCAAGAGCCCCTCACCAACATCAAGGAACCTTCCTTGAGGGGAACATATAGAATAGGGTATTATTATTATTATTATAATCAAGGGGGAAGCGCTAAACCCGGAGGATTATACAGCGCCTGGGGGGGGGGGATATGTGGAAGGCATTCAGGCTTAATTCGGGGAACTGGAGCACAGATCCAATTCCCTAAATCAAGAGCCCCTCACCAACATCAAGGAACCTTCCTTGAGGGGATAGAATAGGGTAGCTCTAAACAGAATGAAATGTCTTAATAAATCTCTACACAGAGTTGAAACATTGTCTCAATAAAAGCTTGTTCTGAACATGTGTGTCGGTTTAGCACTGCCTGTGATTATAATAATAATGCAACATGTGCCTTTTTGGCCTCACACTTGTTCAAAATATGCCATTTCATCCATAAAAATACAAAATTAGTTAGAAAGTAATATGCTAATCAAATTGCATTTTCTTATTTTAATGCACTGGCTGTTTCCCACCAAGGCAGGGTGACCAGAAATAGAAGAAGCACTTTCATCATCACTCACTCCATCACTTGCATTGATGTTATTCTATTTTTTTATAACACACCATCTGTCACCCAGAGCTTGGGTTCCCCCCCTCCCCCACCAGAAAAAAAAATCAGTCATTCAATAGCTGTCTTGTTAGAGATATGCAGACATTACAACTCAATTGACCTTCTGAACTGTAATATCTCCATGCCTGTTTCAGAATGCAGGCACAATGTTTCCCACTTCCAGGACTCAAGTCCTGTTATTCGGTTTCCCTGAATCCCTTCATAAATGCTACCATGCTCACACTCCAACAGCAAATCAAGACATGTAAACACCTTTGCCTCCACTCACTTTAGTTTAATATCCTCACACAAGCCTGTTAGATACTCTGATGTTTATAGACAAAAATTGTAGTACATAATGAAGGCAAATTTTTGTATGTATTCCAAAAATTGTGGATACACTAGCATTGTCATGGATTGAATAAAATTCACAAGTAAATCCTAATCATATATTTAAAAAAATCATACAATATCTCTCAGTATAATTATGTTTTCAATGATCATTCAACCAGTTCACATCTGCATCAGTGTCTCATTACCTTTGCTTGAATTTTTTTTTTTAAAAGCATTCAAATCTTCAGTTATGTACACAGTATTACTGATGTCTAAACTACGTACTTTCTATGACTACAGTACTTTATACAGAGCACAAAGCATAACATATAGACCATGGTGAGTACTTGCTAGTGAGGGGTAACAAAGACAATTTTTGTATAAAAATAAATCTTCCTTATTATGCATCACTTGTCTAATTAACTTTGAAAAACTATAGTAGTGGACATGATTGGACAAATCACAGTGGTGCTGTGGACATAGCATCAGGATATATTTATTTCTGTTAAATTATGTCACTTTTATAATATGAGCTTTCTCTACTGAGCAACTATCATAACCTTTTCTTTAGCAAGCAGTCTCATTGCTATTGGCATTTGTATTTCCTCCTGCATTTCTAGTACAGGTAGGACCTATTTTACCACAGGTTTAAGTTCCAGCAAAATAGGGTGGTAAAGTGAAAAGTCATAAAAAATGACCAAATTATTATGTAATTAACGAGTCCAAACATGTGCATATTGCATGACGGGACTCACAAGCTTTGCTGTTATATGTTACTGAGTTGTGATTTTTTTTGTTATTTTCAATTTTTTTTTATTTTTCAGGTAATTTTGAAAAGGTCATTAATGTGAAAAGTCGTACAATGAACCATCGTAAAATGGGCCCTGTCTGTACTTCATAGGTAGAAGAGTGACTGATTAATAGTTGCTGTCACTATTCTTTCTAAGGTATTGCTCATCTCAACAGTGCTTCTGCCACTGTAGTCAAGCAATGCTTAAGTAGCACTTCACTACTGATTTCCTATTTTTCCAACCAAGATTTTCAACTAGTTTAGTTATTAAAGTCATCAAGCCTTTACATGCCAGAAGAAAAAAACTGAGAAATGTTCCACATCATAATCACACTGGCTTGGAGCCCTGAATTCAACATTGCCGCAGTGTTCTTATAGCAAATAAAGTTCTTGAAAGACATTTAAAAAGAAAAAAATCTATGTATATAAGATCTTCACAGCATATAGATAAATGGTTCAAAGAACTGACAAGTTGATAAATTAGACATGTGCGTGACACTTGGGTATCTTTATTATGGAAATGTTTTGTCATACAGTGGCTGAGGGACTGATTACCTCAACCTCCTCCTGATCTTCACCATTCTTCTTTATATTGGATTGATGAAGCCACTGTGTGGCAAAATGCTTCCATAATAAAGATACCTATGTGTTGCACATGTGTCTAATTTATCATCCATACAGTACATACTTAATACACACCCATTATTTTTTACACAGCATTAAAATCATTTAAAAAAGTAAGACAACAGAGGGTTTTTTTAACACATCGGACATCTTCCACCAAGGCAGGGTGACCCAAAAAAGAAATTTTCACCATCATTCACACATAATCACTGTCTTTGCAGGGTACTCAGATATGACAGTTTAGATGTCACTCCAAATAGTCACTATATCAAACTCCTCCTTTAAAGTGCAGGCATTGTACTTTCCACCTCCAGGACTCAAGTCTGGCTAACTGGTTTCCCTGAATCCCTTCCCAAAATATTAAAGGGATTCAAGGAAACTGTTTAGCCAGACTTGAGTCTGGCAATTATCATTCTACATCTACTTTATAGGAGACACAACTGATTCAAGTTCTCTGCTGTAATAAACCCTGTGAAGCACAGGAGATATAAATAAATAATCCTGCATTAGCACTGTTAAATGAGCTAATAAAATGTCACAGTATCAGCTAGCTCCCTTACCTAAGAGACTGACAGTACTGGAAAACTTACATAATAAACAACAGCAAAAAACTGTGAGGAAAGGAGAGGGGGAGGTTACAGCAGGTAGATATTACTTAGTAAAAAGAGAAAACAGCAACTAAAAATACAACCAAATGAAAGGTGGAATGTAATTTATGGCCAATGGACCAAGGAAGGACTTTACTGCCTGAATATTCTGATACAGCATAAAAAGATCACTAGTATCTGCAGACTGAAAGAAGTAACTAAAGGGGCCCCAATAGGGTGTGGGGGACTCTATAATTATGAATTCGAACCTGTTCTGAATATAATCTGTATACTGTGCACTGGTACCACACCGTATTATCTGAAGAAGAATGAGGTTGAAAATTAAACAGACAAACAGATAAATAAATATCTGTATTTAAACTTCCATTTAGTCAGTACAGTACAGTAAGATGGAGAAAATGACAATGCAAACTGTAAGATAAACAAAGTGCCAGAAAAGTACCTTAAACTACAGTTACCAAAGCTACAAGGCCAAATATATAAAAAAAACTTGAAACAGTGGGTTAACAAGCAGCAGTGCAGTTAGTAGAATAGAGGCAGTTTCAATGAGCTTCCTTTAAAGGAGATACCAAATTATCAGAGGCCAGTGCAATGAAAGAAATTGTGGTTATGTATAGTCGGTATGGTATCCACTGGGAAACAGGGTGGGCACATGGTCTCCTTGGGTCAGGCCTGAGTAAAAGGAAAACAACCATACCAATGGCTTGTCTATCCCCTTGCCCCCTTATCTAAAAACCTGTGGGACAAGATCCCTGGAAAAGTTCCAGTAGTAACCCATGAGAGGCAGCACTGAAACTGTGTGAAAATACATGCTCCTCGCTGTATGATGGTTTTACTTAAGATATTTCAA